GTACATGTTTATGACATCCGAGATCTAGCTTGCACTCCCAACCAATGCCAATATTCCTGAATTAAAATATCTGCCTGACACATTTGATTGACATCTGCCCAATATATACCGGTTTTGACTTGTGCTGTCTCCACTCTCACCAGTGAAACTGCTGCTTTTTCCATAAAGTGAAAGTGGATGGGAACCAGGTCAAGCTCTAAAAAGGACAAACATGTGCAAACTAAAAGCATTATAAAGTTGTCTATTTGACCCTTGCTTCTGAAGCATATGGCTGGATAGTATGGCTGGATTTTCATTGATTTGTTCAATCTTTTTTCATAATCATAGAAAATCCTTATTAACTCAAAATCTTGCGCCACAGTCCTATTCACTTTCATCATATGGAAAAGAGTAGCTTTGAAATTTGTTGGTGATCCCCGTTTCCCCCGAAAGTGCTTCTTATGGTTTAGACCGCAAATTACAATGGTATGAAATGTGGCAAGAGAAAAGAGGAACTGAAATATGATCAATCAGCCGAGAGTGTGTTGCACACTTGCTCTGCTGCAGTAGAACCTCAAAGTTGTCCTGTCTTTTCACATGCTTCCCCTTTTCTCAGCCTTTGTTAGATCAAAGAGGCAGAAATCCTTCTTTCAAACACCCTGTCACTCTTTCTCTTCCTCTCTCTCCTTCTATCTTCTCACGTCGTTTCGGTTCCTGTTCACACCCCACAGCCGGGGCCCCCCCAAACCTCCCCTCCACGGTGCCGTGGGAACTCCTGTGTGAATGCCATGGCAGCGTCTGCGATATGAAGAACCTGCTAGTCTCACATCTAAAAAAAGGGTCGGGAGTCATCTGATGCTGCTGTACGAAGATCAACGAGTAAACGTAGAAAACGAGTAAACGTAGAAAGATCGACTCCGTGGTTTGGATGCCACATCTGCGGAGAGTTCCCCAGAGAAATAGCAGAGATCAAGTATTGGCCATGCCAGTCTAAATCAATGTGACAGTTATGGAATGGTATGAGAGGGAATGATACGAGTAACATGGTAATGTGTGAGGAATTGTACTGCATTACTGGATACCAGACAGAGGAGTGGTGCGAGATATGAAGAATATGGTGTTGTTTTCAAGGAATCATTTCCATGTGACCAAAATAAGTGGTTCTTGCTGAAGCAAGCATCACTATTACGGTTGCTCATACTAAGCCTTCTTTGTTCAGATCCTTGACCCTGAGTCGAGTAGACATGCTTTTACTTTGGATTTTTTCCTGGCAGATGATGAAATGGGAGGGGGAAAATAACATAATTTATAATAAAAGGAGGGACCAGAATATCATAAAGTCTTGGGGGTGGGCTCTATTGACTATTGCCAGTGAGCAACTACCCATAATACCATGACATTAGGGGCCTTTCATAGTTCCTAGAACTAATGGCGGAAGTACCCACTTTTTGGCATCTTTGCATCGCAGTAACTGGGTTTTGGTTTTGGGGCTACTAAATTAGCTCCTACTTCAGAGTAGGGTCTAACCCAGCACAATAGGAACTACCAGTGACACAAGTGTACGCTGATTGGTAGAACGCATGCTAAACACCAGCACCCGCCATTTAAAAAAAAAAAAAGTGTTCACACAGATTGTAGCCTATTTATTTACTCCACAAACCAACTCTACAAACATGGACCAGCGATAGATGGACCTCTCAACCTTTACGCTAATGAGAAAATCCAACGCGACTTTGAGAGGACGGACGGACGGACGGACGGATGGATGGATGGATGGAGTGAGGGATGGATGGATGCTCCAGTCTTCAGTGTCACATGATCCTTATTCTACTACGATGATTTGATGCTCAAGAAATATTTCTGATTATTGATGTTGCTATAAGCAACATAATATAAGCTTTTGCTGCTTAATATTTTTGTAGAAACTTTTAGTTCAGGATTCTTTAATGAATAGAAAGTTCAAAAGAACAGCATTTATTTTAAATAGTAAATACATTTTGGGATGTTACAAAAGATTTCTGTCACTTTTGATCAATTCAATGGATGTCAAATAAAATTACGAAAAACCTAGTCACAATTACGGTTTCATTTTTTACTGGGTGAAAAGGGCTTACATTTCATAACTTTGATGACTTTACTATTACCCTATTCTAAATTTGGAAAATAGTCAAAATAAAGAATTCTTAGGGGTATCCAAACTATTGACTGGTACTATTTGTCTGCTTTAAAAGTGTTTACAGTAATTTTGGTGAATATCCTACTGACAAAAAAAAAACATCTAGTCGGATCTCTAATCCATTTAGTGTGGTGACACACTTTTGAACTCAGCTTAGCCCTGATCCTAACTTAAACCTGGTGTGGACAGAGAGGAATGCACAGGAAGAGGCTGATAAACTGATAAAGCAGTGAGAGAGAAGACAGAGAGAGAGAGAGATTGAGAGAAAGAGAAAGGATTATGGCAGGGTAGAGGTTAATGATTGGCAATGAGTATCAATGGGCCACACAGGGGGCTTTAGGAATGTCTCTCAGAGCCGGGGGCAAGTCACCCAGCCACTGTTAATCAAAGGACTTTACCATCAGATAACAAAAGGGTTAACTTAGCATGGGTGGGCTTCCACATACCAGCCCTGGGGTGCAACTCCAAAACTGCATTCTTTATACCCCCCCCCCCCAATCCACAATCATACAGTGTTTATTCCAATGTTTCCATCTCATTCAGAACTTAAAAATGCCACAGTTTGGTTTTCTAGCACAATTTGTTGGTACAATTTGTTCAGCCAACATTCAGAGGTGGAGGAAACCTCGGGCAACAAATGGTGGAATGCGACTGTTCCTGATGGGAGCCGCCGGCCACCCGATCAGGAAAGGTTGGTGGCCATAAAATTGACACATTTGGGGAAACCACCACCCATGTGGTGCTCAAACGACCCACGTCTGGAATTCAACCGCGTTCTCCTGTCCTCACTGGCTATAGGTGTGAACTTGGTGTGGTAGAAACTCTTTTGACTGTTATAAGGTGTGTGGCAAATGATACATGCAGAATTGCGCAGTCACTGAGTTTTTAGTATGTCGTGTCAACAGCTTAATGGCTGTGACATAAACAATAATAGGCTGTACTAAGTGTTATTAAAAGAATAAAGAATAGTTCACTGAGAATTAAAATTCTGTCATCATTTATTCATCCTCATGTTTTTCCAAACCCATGTGACTATTTCCTCATGCTGCTCTTTTCTTTACACTAAAAGTGCACAGGGACAAACAACGTCAAGCTCAAACAATGAATAAATGGCAGATAAAAGTATCATAAAATGAGTTAATTGGTCATAAAATAAGTCCATAATTGTTTTATAAAAAGTCTTTTAAAACAATATAATGGCTTTACGTGAGGATCGGATAAAAATCTAAGTAGCTATTTATTGAATTAAGCATTCAATTCTCATTCTCACTTTTGCATATTTAAAACTTGTCGCATCACATTTATGCCACTGATATCAAACAGTTCAATGAGTTTTGATGCTCCAAGTTTGAACTCTTGAATCGTTAAATTACAAGTAATAAACAACTGCAGACCTGCGGTGGAGCCGGAGGTGCAGCTCTAATGGAGATCAGGTATTACAGCAGGAATGAGTCAGGCACATATCTGCCTCCATCTCTCCATTTGTCTCACACCCTGGTCTGTCTCTCCCTTTGTTTTTCTCGGTGTTATCTCTCACTACATCTTTCTGCCTGTCCTCTCTTGCCGTGTTCTCACTCTATTCTCATCATCTCCCGGTTTCCATTTATTCATCTATTGATCATCTTATCAGTATTAGCCAATATTATGTTTTGATAATATGAAAGAATCACTTTTTACTACTGCTCATATTTCTATTAAACCTCTTTAATAATAGGAGTTGTATTGTGATGTTTCAAAGCAATCTCACTTATAATTTAAGCCGGTCACAGAAACTCTTTGACTTGAACAAGTAAGCAATTAGCAGGAACCACCAAGAACACCCTAGCAACAATAGCACTAGGTAGATCTGGCTGCCTGCTATGGTACACTCTTCTGTAATTTTGCATTATTTGGCCTTGTTTGGGCATATAGTTGTTAAACAGCAAAGGTCCAATGATCGAGCCCTGAGGGACACCACACGCCATGTGTTTTTTTTCTGTAGAGAGGTGTGTAGTGATGTTTCATGTAGAGAGGTGTGTAGTGATGTTTCAAAGTGATCTCACTTATGAATTTAGCCTATCATGTTCAACTCTTTTGAGTTGTACAGTAAGCAATTACCCAGCAACCACCAAGAATACGACCATATTAGTGCATCTCTAATGATATCTATGTACCTTTTTTGTCTTAACTCTTTCCTTCAGTTTGTCCTCTGTATCCCTCCGGTAATTGCTTATTTCCTTATCCATACCCATTGTCTGAATTCCGATCATCACTTATGTGAGAGGAAATGCCTGAAGAAAGTTCCTCCTGCACTTATTCTACTGAAAAACACAGTGACATCTCAAGCCAATGATTAACAGGAGAAGAGTCACCAGAGAAGCCCTCTATCTCTTTAGCTTCCTTCTGGTCTGACAACTCTTGTGTCTGCAGATAAGACAAACATTTCTCAAGACGGGGAGCAATTTCATTGAGAATATTTAGGCATCTCAACCTAAAGATTGAATGAAATGCCAAAACGACTGATATAGTCAAATAGAATTAATAACCCAAAATGCTGGTTGGTTATTTCCTCTAAGGTCTTTAAAAACAAACCTTGTTCCTCCATTTTGTCAACTTTTCTAAAGGCTCCTAGTGTTTGTTTGCACTGTCAGCGCACTTTTTTTGTGGTATATGCCACGATCAAGAGATTGATAAAGAATGATTGCGAGAATGATCTCCTTTTATCTTCCCTTTTAATAGTTGATAAATGTTGATAAAAAAATGTAAGCGTTCCTTTTAAAGAGGAAGAGGTTTCATGTCCTAGTGATAACAAATGTAAGAGACACACACACGCATACGAGCTTGTTTATAGGCATGCAGAACTGACCTGGCATCGACTGAAGATGTCTGCAGGGGTTAGGCGGACATGGAAATGTCTGAGAACGTGCACGGCCTGGTCACGTGCCTTTTCTGAGCAGTCCAAAATCAGGCAGCGGCCCTCTCCGACCTGTGACCGTAGCTATTCACACAGATACACACATTCTTGTGTGAGTTTTGTTAAGCTAAAACCTAGCGAGCTTACTATGGAGGCAGTATTTTAAGGCATCATAGGCACACTACCTATGTAGGCAGTAGGATGGAAGAAAGCCCACAGAGCTTGCATGTTTCTCAATACCTCAAACACACACTTACTGTTTGGTAGGGCTGACCTGCGGTGAGGATGACACGACCTTCAGCACGGGCCAGCTAGAGGAGAGAATATAGCATAACATGACAGCAAATACATTACTTTAAATATATATATATATATATTAACAAATACAGGTTAAACTCGAAAAATTAGAATATTGTGAAAAGGTTTTCATAGCTGTAAGCCATAATCATCAAATTTTTAACAAATCAAGGCTTGAAATATCTCACATTGCATGTAGTCAGTCTATATAATATATTAGTTTTAAGTTGAATTACTGAAATAAATGAACTTTTGCACGATATTCTAACCTGTACATTATTACTCTTTTCGAGATAATAGTAGGGTGATTTAGTTATGCTTTCACATGACTACTAAAACTGAGATTAATATAATAGAGGACACTAAGTCTTTAAACCTCAGGAGGAATTTGCCTTAACATGTTCTTTATGGCCAAATATGACAACCTCTGTTTTGTCTATTATTTAATTGTAGCAGAATCTATGAGGCTGTAGATGATAACCGTAGATAAATCTAAGTGCTTAACTTTGGTAGACATTTCTGTTACTTCACATTATTCGGCCTTCTGTGGGCATATATAGGTTAAACAGCAAAGGTCCAAGGATCGAGCCCTGAGGGACGCCACATGCCATGGAGGTCCATTCAGATTTTTAGTAACTTGTTCTTTCTAAATATGACCTGAAACAGCTGAGGACCATTATATGATGTCCTACCAGTTTTAAAAATTAAATGTAACTAATGCAAATACGTCAAATATCAACAAAAGGTGACTAATTGTCTCACCTCCGCTGCTACTTTATGGTCATCTGTGTTTTCCAGCATCTTGACGTCCACCCCCAGACATCGCAAAAAACGTCCCAGACCCTGCAGCATGTTATCACAGACCACTCGCAGATCTGGCGGCGTGATGGTGGGCCCTTGGTACTCCGGATACTTAAAACAGTCCTTCTCCACAGACTGGGGCTCGTTCGCCTTTTGCCGAGCCTAAAGATTGGAACACACTCCAACATCATTGGTGAAGACGACATTATTTGACATTTCTAAAGTGTTCTATTCTAAAGATAGTGATCCACTATATTGCATCACAAAATATTGAAGAAAAGGGTGGGCAGGACATATAAGATGGCTTGTCACTTTTTTGGGTCTTTAAAGAAAATGGTACATTATATATAAAATATGCAGTGGCTTAAAATGACAGATTTTTAAAAATAATTCACAATGTGACTAATGATAGACAAACCCCCTAAAAAACTATTGTTTGCCACATTTTTAGTTGTTCTGAAACTGCATCATTTCCGTTTCTGTTTCTGTTAATTTCTGCATCATAAAACCCCCCCATTGTTTCATCAGCTATTTATATATTGAATTTTATGACAGTAACTATGACAACAGAGTAATTTTCTGTACTACAGGCTCATGGTAAATGGTAAATGGACTGCATTTATATAGCGCTTTCACAGACCCAATGGCCACCAAAGCGCTTTACAATTTGCCTCACATTCACCCATTCACTCACTCATTCATACACCGACGGGCGACGGCAGCCATGCAAGGCGCCATCCAGCTCGTCGGGAGCAGCTGGGGTTAGGTGTCTTGCTCATGGACACCTTGACACTTGGTCAGGTGGAACCGAGGATTGAACCACCAACCTTCCGGTTTGTAGACAACCAACATGAACCACTGAGCCACTGCCGCCCCTTCTTTTAGACTGCTCATGACATGGCAGACCAGTGAACTGACCTCTCTTCTTTTAGACTGCTTGTTCTTCTCTTTGGGTTTCTTCTCCTCCCGGCTCTTGGCCAGTTGGGCTGAGGGAATGGAGCAGAGGTCCTCTGGCAAACCATATGCCTTCGGGTCCCGGGAGAGGACAAGGTAGACGTTCAGCAGGCAGTACGCATCAGCGGCTGAAAATAGACACAGAAAGAGAATGGGAGACGGTTCAAAAACATAATGCTACCACATGGATTTTGTGTTACCAGCATAGCGGAGTTGGCTGGTCCGGAGTGGCCGGCGTTCCCAGTTGGACAGTTGCTCAGTTTTGTTCAGTGGTTTTCCCAACACCTGCTGTACTAGCAGACTCAGGCCCTTCTCTGCCGGTCCCTCACAAACTTCCACTGACCGACACCCTTTGTTCCCTAACCGGCACCGCTGAAGCTGTCGGGACAGGGGTCATTTGTAAAAAGAATAAAATAGCAACAGACTCCAAAATAGCAACATGTGAACTTGAATATGATGCATTTGTTACATTTTTCAGCTAATCAATCCAATCAGAAATAGTTAAGCTGCGGGTCGTTTTTAGCAGTACCTCCTGATGGACGTGGAGAAGGTCCAGAACTCCTTCCATCTTCATTGGCTCTTCCCTGAGCTCAGGCCACGTGCTGACCAGACTCCGCAAGTCTCCAGACATCCCATAACCTAGTAAACACATATACACAAGCTATTCAAGGCAGAATTTGCATATCTTTCCTGATAGGCCACCCACAGTTTATGAACTACGAACAATAGGAAGAATTTCAAAAAGTCTGTGACTCAATTTGTCTTGAGGTCTTCTACCGAGTTTAATGATGCTGTTGTCTGACAGCAGAGCCCTGATGAAGTCCACTGTGATGCTGTGGTGGCTGATGGCATGAGCACAAAGGTCCAGCAGAAACACCTGTTCCTGTAGGGCCAGCTGGATCAGAGCCACGCGCTGAGGCGACACCGTGCCAAAACCAGCTCTCCACTCCATGTCAATTCCCACCACACAGCCAGGCTGAAGAAGAGCAAGGAGAAACAGTTAAACGAGACTTATAATGGAAAACAGAATCTTCCTTGTTCTTTAGAAATAATTAAAGTTGATGTTACAATATGAACCACATCAGTACGCATAGGTTAGTCAAATCATAAACGTAATTTACATAAAAGTACAGTAGCAAAGCGTTACCTTTAAAACAGCTTTTCTGCACTGCTCAATTTTATCTAATGTCTCTACAAAGTGGACGTTTTCTCTGGCTAGAGGCATCTGGTAGTATTTTTTCTGATCAGACTGAAGGGGTGTCCAGGGCTCCGGTGGGCCGCTTACAGCACACATCTCTCTGTGACAGGAATATACTTGTGAGGGTGATGGTTGTGTTTGTGTGTGTGGAAGCCAAAGTATCTTCACAAATAGTGGAACACGTCAAAAACTTGTGTTACCAGGTTTGTGTGAGGGTTACAAAAAATACTATTATTGGTACGAAAATCATTTTTGTGAGGTCATCATGAGTATAGTCATTTTTTTAGGTCTGTGTGTGTGTGTGTGTGTGTGTGTGTATAATACTTACCGCTCCTTGGGGGAAAGGCTCTGAATTTTGTCCCAGACTCCTATTGGAAGCCTGTTTCTGGGTACGCTGTAATGTGCAGCCCACTGGGCCGCAGTCTGGAGGCTACAGTGTTTAACCAACAGCTGCACCAACTGAACCTGGAGCTCTAGATTACCTTCAATCATAGCCTGAGATCACACACACACACACACACTCAATCATTTATAGCTCAGTTAAAATGTAGAAGGTCTGAATCAAACCAGAATAAGTATTACCTGAACATGGTCTCTCCAGTTCTCTTCAGACATACCTTTCTGTCAAATACAATGAAGCAGACACATCACTGCAATACATCACATACAGTATTTGCAGAACATCGTACAGTATTCACATTTAGCCTCTGTAACGCGATGCATTTCTGAGTGCACAAAATATTCAGCGGTAAACGAAGGACGAGACTTCATTTTATTAATCAGGATTTGATTGGTTAGAGAACATTACATTTGATTACGTGACTAATACTAATTCATTAAAAAATACATTTAAAAAATATGCAACTCATTACACATACAATTATACCTCTTTTAAGATGAGAAAGATTTAAATTTCTGTATTAAAATGTATTTTATCAGGAAATTACAACTGTCATCTCATAATGAAGAAAAATGCCTCGGAATTTAAAAAAGGAATTTATATTTTAACAAAACTGCTTGACTAATTATTAATAAATTAATGTTATTATTTTAATATTATTAAATATTAATAAGTAAAATATTTATTAAATATTAATAAACTTTAAATTTTATACACACACATATATATATATATATATATATATATATATATATATATATATATATATATATATATATATATATATATATACACACAATTTTATATAATAAATTATAATACATTTATAATAAATGTTTTACTTAAATTAATATTAAAATACTATATTAATATTATAATACTATTTTTTTTATATTTAACATTAATTTAGGCATTATAATTTAAGTATATAATTTAATAATATTATTTTTAATATTGTTGATATTTGAAAAACCTGTATGCTAAATCAACATCATGTGTAGCAGCGCCACAAAAACCATAAAACAGGACATGATATCATAGTCAGGGCCTCTATATACCCTCTTGATTGAGTGTCAAAATCAGCAAGCCTCTTAAAATATAATTTGATAAGATAATTTGATTTAAAACCAGACCAGGTTAGTTCAGGTTGTCATGCTGTGCGACTCATAAATATCATTGTGTTTTTGTTGATATTTATTGAATTAATAATTCCTTACATTTGTAATAACAAATACTGCTTGCCTTAAAAATTATATTAAAAAACATTGATGAAAATAATGATAAAGATGTGTACTTTTATTCAATGTGTTCATTTATAAAAAGTCTCAAAGAAATATTTTCTTTCTTGATGGTTACACCAGCTGACATATATAGTCACTGAACAGAAACTTTTCTTGGAAACGGTTTTTCAAAACCATATGAATCCAACATAAATACAAAAAGTAGATTTCTAGGACCTCGACACTTCACACCCTTATATGTTTTTGACTGATGTGATGCAGTGAAAATGGCTCTCTCACCTCACCAAAGGTTTTGTACATGAGAAACCTCAGTGAGTCCAGCTTCCTCTTGTAGACAGAGTTAGAGCACAGACCTGTAGAAACCAAAACCAACAGGACGAGCGTAAACATCCAATACACACGCATTGATAAAGATGATGAGAGTGTCGAACAGGCTCACACACACACACACACACACACCTGGGTCAATGCAGAACTTCTCCATGAGTCTGAAGACATGCTTACTGAGCAGCTTGGGCTGAATCTGGTCCGTCTGATGCTTGGACAGAACCAGGTATGGGTGCTGACTGAAACCACACAACACGTCACAATCACTCAGCAAACTCTGCCCAGATATACTTTATCATCCACGCCATCATTATTATTATTAATGACCTTTTAATTCATTCACAGAAGTAAAAATCAGCCATCAAATGAGGATGAATGATAAATGATGGATAAATGAGTATTATAATATGACAGAACAAACTAAACTATTATTATTCATACAATAATAATAGTAATTAATAATGACTAATATATATTAGTAATAAATGTAAAACAATCATATTAATATTTATTAATTTTACCATTTTGTACAAGTGAAATTAGTGATGGATAAATTAGTATTATAAAATGAGAGAAAATATTATTGTTAATATAATAATAATAATAATAATTACTAATACATAGTAATAAATTAAAACAATTATATTTATTCATTTTACATAATTTGTACAAGTGAAATTAGGCATCTAAACTTTACAAGATGAATTAATTGTGGAAAAATTATGGAAAATTATGGATAAATGAGAATTATAAAAAGAGAGAATAGGCAATCATTATAAATATTATAATTATTATCATAATCTTTATTATTGTTAATAATAATAGGCATTTTTATTTGTACCCAATTTTGCAGATGTAAAAATCAGGCATCAAAACACTAAAACGTACAGTACGAAAAAAATGGATGAATGCTAAATGATGGATAAATGAGTATTATAAAATGATAGATCAGACTAATAAATCATTTTTCACAAGTAAAACCATGTAAAAAAAAGATGGATACATTTACTGAATATTATTGAATTAGATAATAGACTAGACTAGATTAATAATAATACTGATAATAATAAAAAGTCATAAATATTATTATTATAAATGTTTCCATGTTGATATTTCAGGTGAATGTCATGAAGAAATCTCCAGGTTATATATGACCCCCAAATATTTTTTTGCATAAAGAAAATTAAGCCTAAAGGATTTTTTGTTTTGCTTTGTGACATTATTTACATGGCAATTAAGCACATTTTCCTCATAAATTCCTAATTCTGTATTGAGGCATAATGCACAATAGGGTAAGGACATTTTTCAGCCTTTCAATGCAGCATGTGGACCCCTGTGCCCTGCCCCGTGCTGAGTGCTCACCTGAGCAGAGCCTGCATGCAGAAGCCGGGGTCGCACCAGGAGTCCAGCAGTGCGAGCAGCCGCCGCTGCAGCTCGGGGTGATCCCGCACGTACAGCTCCGCCAGAGACAGCTTGTCCAGGAGGATGACCGGCACACACATCTGCCGGCACACACAGCAACAGTGCACACAAGAGAGAGGAAACATCCAGCTATACTCATCAATCTGGCTAAACTGACCTTCTCCATGTCCAGATCCTTCTGGAGCTCCACTTTGACACTGAACACCAACGCCTGTTAGAAAATACAAGATTTCCTGTCATTACGGCGGCTTATGCTGCTCATTATATTGGCATTGTCAAATAAAAAAACATCTTACATTATTGCTAATCAAATAGGTTGATTCTATATAACATTTATAATGCTTGTTTAAAAAATTATAAATATATATTCATTTTAAAAAGTATTAAACAGTTTTCTATTGACATTATCTAAGTTAAAGTCAAAATTGTAGACTTTTTAAAATCATTTTTTTATTGTTTATTTAATTGACACAAAATAAATTAATATTAAATGACTGTAAAAAAAGAAAGAAAAAAGAAATGAACAATATTATTTTCTTTTTTTGATCCCCCCATTTAATGACAGCAAAGGAGATAACTTTTAGTTTACACAATTATTTAAAATTCACACGAAAATATGAAATATAAATATGAATGTGACCTCAGAAACTCAGATTCTGATCATACAATGCTGATCGCTTCAAAATGTCACAATTTTGTCCAAAAAAATAACATTTCATAAACCATTTTGACATTTTGAAATCATCCAGGCCACATTCCACTCCCAAAATCATAATTATATTTTTATAATATTTTATATTTAGCCCATTATTAAATATACCACAAAACTTTTTTTCCAAAAACCGTGTATGTTTCTACCCCTAGCAACCCTTTGTTTTTCTTGCGTCCCCGTCCCGTATGCTGGTGTTGTGAAGCAGTCCCCCTCACACCTCTTTGAAGCAGCAGAGGTCCTGCAGGAGGAACACGTGCTCCAGCAGCAGTGGTTTCCTCAGCGAGCTCAGCTGGTACAGCTCCAGCAGGGGGTCCATGAACCCGGGATGAGAGTCTGTGAGGAGACCCAGCGCTTGCTGCTGGAGGCGCAGTCGCTCTTCCTCCCTCAGGACATTCAGACTGGCCTGGGGATTACTGGTCCTCCAGCGCATAAACTCTGAGAGGATCAACTGGTTCGGAGTGGTGGTCTTGCCCTTTTGGACGGGAACGCAACCCTCCAGGAGGTCCAGCAGACCAGACAAGGGCTCCTGCATCTGCGAGAAACTGCCCGCTAAAAACTGCCGCAGCTGAGGGAGGAACAGGGGAGCTTTTCAGACCGGTTGGTCAAAGGGGACGAGGTGGAAAAGGAAATAATAAAAAAATAAATGAAAAAAATAATAATATATATATTTTTTTTTTAATCAAATCAAATTAAATATAATTTGATTTAAATTAAATATTTAAATCAAATCAAATTAAATATTTGATTTAAATTAAATATTTAAATCAAATTAAAAAAAATTAAATCGAATATCAAAATCAAATCAAACCAAAATAAAATAAAGATATGGATTAAGTAAATTAATAATCAATTATGTCAAATTAATGTAAAAAAAATAATCATAATAATAAAATAAAAATAGGGATTAAGTATATTAATAATCAATTGAAATGACTTTAATAATATGCATTACTTAATATTGTGTATTCTGAATTTGTTTCTTAACCAAAATACAAATCTGGTCAATGTTGCACAATGATTTGATTTTGAATATTATTTAAGTATCTATTTATATTTTTTATTGATGACTATGTTTTTAGCTTGTGTGTGTTATAATTGTTGGAGCTTGTACTGCAAGACAAATTTCCGTGCACACGGACAATAAAGTGCTATCAAATCAAATCAAAATTTGTTCCTTGAGTTACAATTGTGTTGTTATTATTATAATATAAAAATATTTAACAGTGAGCCCAAACTAAACTTGAATTCTGAAGCAAATTATACACAGCATTGAGTAAAGCACTGGCAATGCACTACAGTTTCTTATACAAAAAAGGGGGAAAGGAAGTAAACAGAATGAATGTGATCATCATGAATTTTGGTGATAAATATGTGGTGATATAATATAATCTGAATACTACACAAGAAAATCTTCAATACACGATAAACACTATCAAAAGCATTTGTGATATAATGTGGATTACCACAGAAAATTACAACTCTCTCTCTAAAAAAAATGCTATAAACTGAGGGAAGAGTTGATAGGATTTTCTTTTGTAATGATGGTTATACCATAAATGCGAATTAATTAATAACAACTTGTACAACCCAAATCCTTCTTTTAATTCACTGCGGTTACAACTTTGATCGTTTCATTGGAAGTCTAAATTATGCTCATAAGGGCTATAGAGCAAAATATCTGTATCACATACTATAGTTATTTTGAAAAGTAATGGAGATTCTCCTAAATACTGTGGGGAGAAATGGAGGAATTTTGCTGGCCCCTCATGCACATCCCTTCTCTCAAGTGATCTTATCGCCTTTATCTCACCTCTCCCGCTCTGCTCGAGTGTAATTACATCTGTGCCTTACCTCCTCCTGCTCTTTCCTGTTCCACAGGCCCCAGAGGTGCTCCTGCAGGGCCGCCGGGTCAACACCTGGGCCCAAACACACGACACCGGGTCACACTCATGCGCTCTTCACGGCATGCCTGTTTTCACTCCACCTCACAAGCTCTCATGCAATTGTATTGTACTTCTCCTGTCACTCTCTACTTTAACGGTTTAATAAAAAGTGGCCATGTTGCAGGCTGGACTCGAACATGTTTTTCCCATATGGGCACCACCACAGTGCCAACTGATGATTTTACTACAGTGTGTTCATTCCTTTTCCAACATAAACTGATTTCATTATTCTAAATCTTTCATCAAAACATATTTGAATTCATAAATACGCACGAGTCCAAATGAAACCGCGGTCATAATCGCAACCCACTTCATTTCTGCAACATGACAGATTTCAGGATATTCGACCAGTAAAACTTGACTGGATCGTGAACAGCGCTGTCTATATGACAGGTGGTTGGAAGGGAGAGTTCGCAAAAGTCCCATAAAACGAAAGACAAAAGAGTGCGACACCAATTTGAATGCTTATTAAAGAAAGTAAACAGAATTTTGTTTTCATGTTTTAACATGGTTTAATGCACGGTTTAATGCCCACCACCGTAAGACTTCCCTAACTTTTCCCCCTTGAATCCAGGATACAGGCTTTACTATTTTACTTCCTTTGTAATGCACTCCTTGACTCCTTTTTCCCAGTCAGCTATTGTTACATGTGGATACTTCACACCGCATTTGAATTGAGCAAAAAAGGGTCAGAAAATTAACATTTAATACGCGTAACAGGGAGAGAAAGGAGGAGTCTATTGTTGTGTGAGAGGTGTTGGGGCTTTGTATTTTGGGGCAGTGATTCCAGGCCACAAAACTGTGAGAAGATGAGCCAGTTTTGAGGAGGAAGGGGGAGCGGGACAGGAGCGGCCGGTGACAATGGGGTAACGGAGGGGAGGTATATGGTCCTTTGAGAAGCCCTGAAAGCAACTGCCTCTCTCTCATGCTGTGTGGCCAACACCTTTCTTCTCCTCGCCTCTCCTTCTTCCCAGGGCCGGTTTTCCTGTCCCCCCCCGACCGGCCCCCCTTCTTCGTGGTTGTCTCGGATTTCCCCCGGAAAGGGCAACACGGTGGTCACGGTGTAAAAAACCCAACCTTCCTGACCGACAGCCTGGGAAAGTGGTGCAAAGGGCTTTTCTCCGTCCACTCTTAGCACCACTACACACACACACACACACACACACACACACAGTCCTGCACGGAGATCATCCTATTTGCCCGCAATACTTCATGGGTTGTCTTAAACATTACATAGGATAGTCTTTTCCCATAAGTAAAGCTTCCGTGATTGGTGTGACGCACGCATATATCACAAACACATGATATCCTCTGGTGTTTGTCTCTACTCCACCCTAACCTCATTCTTTTACAGGCATTAACATACACACACACACACATACACGCATGGGAGGAAAGTGGGCCGGAAGGACATTAAGGAATGTAGACTATGCAGCTAGTCAATGGGAAGTTTGAAAAGTGAGAATGTTATTGAAGGAGACAGGTATTTACTTACAGAAGTCAATATCATCTATGACTTCCACTTGTGGAGTGAACTACACTGCAAGCTCTTTATCCATTAGATTAGCACTTTTTTTTTGTATGTGCAAAACTCGCCGGCACGATGTTGAAGTTGACCGGCCTTGCCCAGACGGTCGGCTGTCGGGCCGTTTTTGAGCATCGGTGGGCTTAGTTTTTTCTGTGTTTGCACCGTTCGAATCAGCATGTTGAGTCTGCGTTGGGCCGCCGGTGAGAGCGAGAACTCTGATTGGCTGTTCAGTTTAGCAAAGGAGTCAGTGCACGAGAATTAAGCGTAATCTTACCCGAGCATTCGATTACACAAATATTTTCATTATAACATGAGCCGGCTGGAATGAAGAAAGTGATCAGCATGATTAATATTGAAAATGGTAAGCAAGCACTGCTTTGTTTATCTGGAGTCCTAGTTTAGGTTCCTCTTTTTGAATGACAAACATAGACTACTGATACCTGCTGATATAGACAGATATTCACTTACACGCAGGCACAGAACACACGTGCTAGTTGACAGTCGACTTTAGTCTATTTGGTGTTCAAGCACAGCTTTTTGGCCGAGACGCAGCCGACGAGAGGCGACAACACAGTCAGCATTCGTCGCCGCTAGTTCTTTGACGTCGGCTTGGTGTGTCACAGGCGTAAGCCTTTCCTAAGGTCGTTGCTAGGGTGTTCAGCATGGTTGCTAGGCAGTTGGTAATTGACTGGACTCGATGAGCGGATGAAAAATACGAGGGTTTGATATCAGCCGAAGAGGAAAGTTGTTTCAGAGATGGAACAAATTATTATTTTAAATTAAAAATTTTCTCATTTGAAATGACATGCACCAAAGAATTGTTCACATAAGACAAAGGAACAAATATTAAGAACATTTCAATTTTGGGGATGCACAGAAAATATATTATATAACACTTATATTACCTATATACTTATATAATCGATAATTATTTTCATGTTATGGCCAACAACTGCTAAATGGCCAATATTAAAATTCTCTCCTATTTTGTCTAAATAAATTAAAAAAACACCTAAAAACTAAAATGAATTGTTTTACATACACAAGTGAGCTTAAGCATCACAACATTATAATGTACAGTATAATTTCACTACTGTTTAAAAAAGATTTTGTTTTTGAAAGAAGTCTCTTTCAAGGCTGCGATTATTTAAATGCAGTAAAAACAGTAATATTGCGAAATATCATTACAATTTAAAATAACTGTTTTCTATTTTCATATATTTTAAACTGTAATTTATTCCAGTGATCAAAGCTGAATTTCCAGCATCATTACTCCAGTCTTCAGTGTCACATGATCCTTCAGAAATCACTCTAATACGCTGAAGAAACATATATTATTATTATCAATGTTGAAAACAGTTCTAGTGATTCTTTGATGAATAAAAAGTTTCACTTATTTGAAATATCATTAAATCTCTCCACTTTTGATCAATTTATTACATCCTTGCTGAATTGCAGGACTAATATATAATCAAAACAAACAGAATCTGACAGACCCCAAACTTTTGAAAGGTAGTGTATAAAACTCAAGTAGCGGCCTCTAAACCAATATACGAGACAGATTTATTTCGCATGCCTATTTGTTTTCATATTGACTTAACTACATACAGTGAGAAGTTTGTATTCCTAGGAATGATCAGTAATATCCATGCTAGCTTTAGCACACAATGCTAATTAAAAGAGTCCACGGGTCAACCGAGGCTCACCTCTTGGTTGTCCTCCCAGGCTCATTCTCGTACACCTGGTGGCGCTGTCTGGGCGCCGCGCTTACACACCCTGTGCAAAAGAAAACAGGGATTGTTATGACTGTAAAGTGCATAGAAAAACTGATTCCCAACACAGATCTGGTTAACAGGCTTGAACATGCTTAGGAGACTCTAACATGTCCAACATTGCATTATTCGTCTGCCTGGTGGACTTTATTAACATTCATCACCGGTTTATAACTGAAAAAATAAAAGACATGACTTCAGAATGCCAAGTTTTGTCTCTCAGTTATTGCAGGATCTGCTAATGACCTCAAACAAATGATTTCCCCCATGTAGCAGTCCCTAAAAATGTGCAGTTTGGCAGCTGGTCTTAATATTGTTCTCACACATTCTCATGCAGTTTCTCTCAAGTCAACAACACACACACAAAAAAAGAGTGTTATATATCACTCCTTCCCTATTGTATTTGCAATGCTTCAGGGGTGAGATTTACCTTCAGATAACAAGGGGAAACTTACAACAGGGTTAACGTAACAGTTATTGACTCGTGTTGAGCAACATGTGAACAAGTGCCTCAGGTGTCAGTACCCACATGTACATGTTTGAGTGTCTCGCACACACACACACACGTTTGCTTGCTCTCTCTCCCTGTGGGAACAGCAGCGCTAGAGAAGGCAGTGTGCCAGCTGGCCAGGCGACGGGCTTTACAGGCTGAGGATGTTTGGCTTCTTTGGTCTGGAGTCTGGACTGTTTCTCTCAGCAGTCTCAGGGGAAGCTCCTGGCACTGAACTCCAAACCTCACGGTCCCGACGCCAACACACACCTCCTCTGGTCTTCACTGACATCTAGTGGACACACGCGGCTCACGCCATATCAAGGCATTAGCCTGTTGATCTCACTGTTGCAGCAGGGGTTGCTCATATTCTCTGACTAAAGCAGATTTACGAATACTATGGAGGCCACCTATAGATGCAATATGAAGCTGTCACTAGAAAGTCACTTTTTCCTCAAGTCTATGTAATTTGGATGGTTAAGAACCAGCTTCACCTTCATTTTTCACCTTTTAAAATACATCCTATTTGGTTTTACATAAATCGGAATCCAGTGCCGAGTAAGTATTACATGTAATATGGATTACGTAATCAGACTCTAAAAATTAAGTACTTGTAATTAGATTATATTACTTTTTCAAATACTCGTAATCAGACTAGTTACTTTTCTATTGATTACATGTTATTCTTAAAGTGGGAGTAAATTATTCATAATTCGTTGATTCTCCGTGTGTGTCTAAAACCTTTTTCCTTTCTATAAAAGTCTGCTTATATACGTTCAGAAGCTCTTTAGATGCAATGCAGAAATTCCCCAACTTTTTTTGTCAGCTGAACCTCTTTGTCCTAATATATTTAATTGAAAACCCCTGAGAGTTAAAGTTAATAAGTCAAGTCAATAATAATATTAATAATAATAAATAAAGTTAATTCAATGTTCTCTGATGTCGTTTAATGGTCACATGACATGCAGGTAAACAATAAAAAAACAAACTTTAGTAAGCATTTTATTTTGATTGTTTTTATTTTAAAACTATTCATTTTAATTTTACATTTTTAAGATTTAATTGCTTAATAGCTTTTCATTAATCTCTCGAACCCCCGTCTGGGAAACCCTGATGCAATGTGATATTTAATGCACCTAATGTTGTTGATAAAGAATGGATATATTTTCTTTCTCTTTGTTTTTTTTTTATATGAATATGGTACAATATTATTAGTAATATTGTAATATTGTTAGGTCAAACGTAATCTAAAAGTAATTAAAAAAAATAGTCTGATTATATTACCTTCAAATTTATGTAATTATTTTACGAACTACAATTTTTGTCATGTAATTTGAAAGCAGTAACCGATTACAATTTGTAAGTAATCGACGCAGCAATGTCTGATGAATATCACAAAAATCATCGAGAACATGTCCGGTTCACATTTAACACTATAATTATTTAACTATTTATTATTTAACCGTCACATTATTTTCAAGACAATGAATCATATTTTTCCAATATACACACAATTGTAGACTCTCTTTAGTAAAAAAACTAAAAAAAATAATAATAATTTGAAATGCAAGCAAAGTAAATGGTATACATGCATTTAAATCATGTAGATCAAATGTTATATACCTAGCCTATATAATATGTGCTTGAGTGTCACTTACAGTAATACAAAATTGTGAAGAATGTGCTTAATTGTATGCCAACAGTATAACAAAATATATTTTAAAATATAACTTAAGTATTTAAACATTTTATTAATTTAGTTAATATATCTTCTTGTTTATTCCTTTAAAGATACGTTTACTACTATTATTCACATGCGAGCAGTTCTTTTCAGATGACATGTTTTTCACGTGACACAGTGACAGAAGGAACGCGTGGAAGCGTTATTAATCTGTATAATAGATCAGTGGTATATGAAGCATAGACATATGTCTGTGGTGTGAAGTGTCATATGATTGGCTTTATGGGAGTTTGCTCTGTTATTGTTCGAATAAACGCGTGAGTGACGCGAACAATAGAGCCACGCGACCAGCCGCATCAGGACGCGCTCAACTACACCGATCAAACCGCCGCGATGTCACGCTCCTTCTCTGACAATGACTTCTCTTTACATAAAGATGCTTCTTCTTTTTCTTTTCTTTTTTTACCAGATGTGTTGTAGTTTTTACAACTTGCATGACATTGTTATGCCATATTGCGATGTGTTCTTTAAACCAACTGAATTGAGAATAATTATTACAAACGCCTTTATCAATATCACTTCCATTAAACAGGATAGCGTCAGCACACATTTTCGATAAATACAAATGTTGTATGATGTTTTACCCCAGATATATATCTAAAATATATAGGGCAAAGACCAACCAGTGAAGATTTTTTTTAACTTGAAAAGAATTGAATCTGAAGCCTCTTTCACATAAACTTTAAAAAGTGTCCCAATACGTCATTAAAAATATGTATTAATGTATATATTTTGAAACGAGAACAGTCAGTAGACTCAAAAAAACATTTGTTGACGTTGTAACTCGGCAGCATCACAAAATATGAACTTCAGAACTGAAGTGGCTAATATCAACGTGCTAGCATGAAAAACATGAGTACACTTTTCCCATAGATATTTTCCACGAGGCATAAACAACTTGACAACTGCTGGCGTTAAAAACGAGAAAAATATATCTACGTGTTTTGACTGAGTCAGTGTTAATTGTGAATATTCAACTTACTTAAATAATGTTGATGTCAACCACAGAGGAAACTGTATGTTGGATAAATCTTTCCATATATCCGTGCGGAACCATTAAATGCGGGGGAGGTTTATTATAGACATTTGATGATGTGACACGTGAATAGTAATATTGGAAATACTTGGTGCAAAACCAGTGTCAGAGTGCCATAATTATGCGACCTAAAATAATATCTGCAACGGTAATAGTTTTGAAGGGCAAATAAAAGCTGCGTCCCACTCCAAATTTGTATGCCCTTCAAACTTCCCTCTTTTGTGGACTCGGATGTGCGTCATTGTTTACGTTGCACGAGTGCCCACTACTGGCGCCCTTGATCACCATGGAGCTGATTAATTACTTATTTACTTATGAATTTGTTTCTATACGCATTTAAGTTGTTGGAGAACATATATAAAATAATGTAAGTAGAAAAATAAAATTACACAAACCAAAAAATATATATATAAATAGTATAAACTTTGACTGTGAACATATAGCTAGTATTATGCAATTAAATCTCAACATACTTAATATTTTATACACTATTATGCGATTAATTCTCAAAATAATACACTGTGACGTCACCATCTTGAGTTGTGGGAGCTGCTTGAAAGAATAGATGGATTAAGCATTTCTTTCAATACGAAAATAAAATTAGGTATTTAATTCCTAATCTAATTTTTGAAAAGATGGGTGGGGTTGCTTTTCTGTTGCAATGCAACTTTGAATTCAGTAAGATTCCAGTTAGATTAAGTCATGTTCACAGGCAGGTGCTACAAATGTATAATTTGGAATAACAGGTATAACGTTTAAACATAAAACTTAGTTTTTTTTTTCTTCAAAAATGGGTTGATAATGGCATTATATTTGTTAAACAGTTATTTAATAAAAACGGGCACCTGTATACCTAGAATTTCTTCAAATGTATATTCCAATAATCCCTAAAGAATATATAGTGTAATACCATCCGGTTTAAAATGTCTGTTTAAAGGAAATGTGAATAAGGAGACTGCGAGTCTAGGACCTGATGTTGCAATTGAAGGAGTTACTATTAGGCCTACTGATAGAAGATGGAATAATTACTTTATTAGGAAGTTACTAAGAGAATAAATACCCAATATCTTCTAAAACATACTGGCATTATACACTTGCATTGACTGGAAATATGCATGGTTGTTTCCTAAAGAAATGTGTATTTGGAAGCGTTTTCTTAAATGCTTAGGGATGAAAGTTTACTTTTCTGAAAAAGATCTATTTTGTAATTTTAATAAACAAAGATTACCACCAATTGTGGCCTTTCTTGTTAATCTGTTTTTTATTGTGGGGAATACCATATGAACAAACAAGGGCGAAAGGAAACCCTGATTTATTGTTATTTCAGATAGATATGAAAAATGATATTGAGTTACTTGGGTTGAAAAATAGTAAAGCAAAACGCACTAGGTCTATGTGAAGCTTGTATGCTTTTTATATGATGATCTCATACCTGTTCTTTTTTCATTTTATATTATTTTCTTTCTTTCTTTTCTTTCTTTTTACTTGTACTATCATTTTATAAATTACACTGTATATTTTCTTTTCCTATTTGTTGTAGTCTATATTTGTTTAATATTTTTACACTACATGTTAGATTATTGTCATGTTTATTATTTGTATGTGACCGTAAATAGAGCTGCTTGAAGTGTACGTCAGAGTAGATGTAATCATATTTAAATTATGAGCATAATTTGTGCCGCTATCTGTTGACGAGTAACAGGTGTGGTAAAGCAGTCTTCAATATAACATATCAACACATTTCAAAAATAAGTTTAAAGAAACCAGTCTTTAGATGTACAGCTTGATTTCATTTATAAAAACAATAAATATAAATTTGTCAAGTAACAGTTAAAGATCATAATTTCAAAAATCCCACTCAGGATAATAATACTATTCTCTGATAATGATATATATAATAACAGAAAAATAAATAATAATATAATATAATGTAATATGAAAATATGTTGTTGTATATTGCAATAAATATTTGTATTTATTTATCTACGAACTCAAGTAGGGAATGCATATGAAAACAACAAATTAAATATCCAGTAGTATATCCACCATTTGTGTATTATGTGCTTAAATAGACTCATATGCATAAATAAAATAAATAAACAAATAAACAAATAACATTTATAAATAAATAAAAATAATGCTAATAAAAATAAATAAAGTGTTAATAATATTCTTTGAAATTATTATTTTCTGGGCTGTATCATGTGATTAGAGTGTAGCGTCACGTGACGAGTGATCGCGTCAGCGCACGGAAGTTGTCATAACGAGCTAAAAAGAGGTACAGAGAGGACTGCTAATGTTATAGACTGAAAATAACTCTCTCTGGTCGCTTACATCCCACCGAATTGCGTGTGCTTTTCGGGTAATAAGCTCTATAAGCAGCAGAACACGTCCCGCGGCTCCAGGACAGAGTTTAAGCAGCGGTATGGAGTGGTTTGGAGGCGGCGTGTTCCACACTGAACAGGACCGAAAGGAAAACATGCCCCGCACACACCCACACGAGGTACCCGAGAAAGTTCACCAGGGCTTCACTTATTACCCGAGGCCTTTTCATTGTGCTTTAAATCAACACGAGGCTGCTGTCTCTCTATGTTTACACTTGAAACCGTGCGGAAATGGGCTGTAAAGTCGTCGTTAGTTCGCGTTAGCTGGATTACTAACGTTAGAGGCTGCAGTAAAAGTTTCCGCAGGATGAGAAGGGAAAGGCTGTATCTCAATACGTGCCCGTTTTCCGGGGACAGTCCCGGGTTTTGTTGTTCTGTCCCCGGAAATGTCTTAATACACCCGGAAAATACATTGCAAAAAAGCCCGACCAACATACAGCAGTAATAACAAATGAGATTTCAGCGATATTTTGGTTTCTATTTCAGAAATCTGGTCACCACAGCATTTTTTTGGGCATCGCAATCACACCGGTCTAGACAGGCATCTCCGATAGGTTTATTAACTGTGAGGATCTTTGACATGAGATCATGAGCCTGTGTCTTCGGCCTCGTGTTGATAAGCTTGTTCTGACAGCTGAGGATAACGAGTGCTTTATTATTAGATCCATTACAATTCCCCTACTACTTTGATGGCTCACAGTTGTGTTATTTATTACTGTAGTAACTACATTGCAAGTGCATAACATAGAGTTCACATAAAAACAACTTGGCCCTATTTTAAATCAAACTCAATAATGCAAGTCATTTTTGGGAGATAAAAGGGCTTATTCAATCCACTTTGGATGATTTTAATTGGAAGTACAGTGTTATGCTGTTCTTTTTACAGTTTGACAAATGCATTGGGAAAAACATATAACTACCACGGCACCAACCTTATGAAATATCTGATTTAAAGGGGTCGTGAATTGAGAAATAGAATTTTATTTGATCTTTCAACAAGCAAGAGGTCATTGTGCTATACAAATATCCTGTAAGTTTCCGAACTCAAAACCTCCTCATTAGTTCAAAAACCGCTTTTATTGAAACCAAGCTCAGAAAACAACTCGTTTCAGATTTTGTCACATTATTACATCATAGTGAGACGAAAGACCGCCTCTACAGAAGATCGACACCTACTTTTACTCCATTGCCTCTTTAGCGCCGCCCACGATTCACACGTGTCGTGTAGAAGTAAATACGAGACAAACACAGGATTGATTACTCCAGCAACAAAATGATAGAGGATCTTCTGAGGATTACAAGATGTGGAAAAGCACAGTCTTTGCATTGCCATCCTTGTGATCCTAACATTAAGAAAGCATGGATGAACTTTATTTTGAACCAGGTTTTAGTCTGTTCGTGTCAGTAAGGCACTGTTTGCTTCATTTTACTGCGGATTCGTTTTTTAAACGAGACAAAAGCAGACTTTTCGCAGAGACTGAAAATAAAAGATGATGCCGTGACGACTACACTGGATCCGACAGTAATAATATCGCAACACACAAGTGTGAGTAACAATGTTTTTATCTTGTGTCAATATTGCTTTGTCTGATACAGATCGTTTGATATGTACTGAATATTTATACTGTAGCGTCGCAGTCATCCTAAATAGTTGTGATTTGCTGTTTTTTTTTTTTTTTTTCGCCGTTTATGTGGTTAATGTGTAAGAACGCTGCTTTTGTTATTGTTTTGATCGAAGCCAATCGCTGTAATCGTGAATAAAAGCTTCAGCGAGCGACCCCTCTGTTTTGTCATCAGCACGACATTACAACACATTTCATTTGATTTAAAAGCACAACACTGCAAAGGACAATGTATGTTTTTCACTTAATTTGCAAAGGAAGAACTGAATAGCCTATAAGAACAGCAAAGCATTGTGACAAACAATTGTACATTCATTCATAATTGGTTTACACAAAACACCGTAAGTTATCTTTTGTCAATTGCAACTGTTGTAAGTACTTTAACTTTATTTGCCACAACCAGGACTTATAAAGCATATGTAAAATGCATAAATGTTTCAACTATGTAACAGTCTTATCCAATGTTGAAAAACATCCAATGTTGAAAAATCTTATCACACGTGTAAAAATTATTTTAATATGCAAAACTGTTACTCAATCATAGCAGTCGGCGTTCACTTCCAAGTCTTGTGTGCGACATGCCCATCAACATGGAGAGTTTGAAAGAGAGTCAAAAACAGGATAGAAAATAGCTTATTTTTTCTAAATCAGGATGTTTTTTGATATAAAAATCTTGATAACATTATAAGTGGACCTCACATTTTTTTTTAAATGCAGTCCATGACCCCTTTAAAATGAAAAAGTCATGTAAATGTGTAAAATAATTAAGCCTATATTGTTTTTGGCTAAATATTGCTCTTTACAAGTACGTATGTAAAGTAAAACTTCCTTGCAAACAAATGTACTAACATCACTCTTTTTGTTGAGCTTCTTGCTGAAGACATTTTTGTATACTAACTGTTTTTTTTTTAATCTTATAATTCGAAAGATTGTTGCTTGCCATATAAATATAAATCTGACCCTGCAGTCTTTAAAGAAAATTATATATTGTATATATAAGAAACCTCTTACATTTACAAAGGCTGCATTTATTTGATAAAATAAATACAGTAAAAAACAATAATATTGTGAAATAATATTGTATAATAGCCGTTTTTTTCTATTATTATAAAATGTAATTTATTCCTGTGATCAAAGTTGTATTTTCAGCATCATTACTCTTCAGTGTCACATGATCCTTCAGAAATCATTCTGATAGGATGATTTGATGCTCAAGAAACATTTATGATTATTATTATTATAAATGTTAAAAATGGCCGTTCATATTTTTATGGAAAACAAGATGCACAAAGGATTTTTTTGACTAATAGAAAAGATCAAAAGATCAATATTTTTGAAATAGAACTCTTTTGCAATAATATAAATGTTTACTGTTCCTTTTGATCAATTTAGTGTGTGATCGATGATTACATTTATTTTAAAAATATTACTGACCCCAAACTTCTAAATGGTAGTGTATAGATATACATGTTAAACTTTTCTGGAAAATTCAAGGGGATTTTGTGTCCAAAAAGAATAGCAACCCTGATGGTTAAAAGTTCAGTGCTGCTAGCTTTGTAATGTCGCTGCCATTTGAGGACTGGATCTGTTGCAAAAACAGAGCAATGTTCTTTATGAATATCTGAATTTTCCATGCAGACTGTAATGATCAGTGGGCGTTATCTCTGTGTCCCGCCACAGCCCAGTGCGGAGAGCATGGCGTCTCTGTGCCAGAGTCAGCAGCGCTGTTTGGAGGCGTCCATCGCGTCCCAGTGGCAGCTGGCAGAAGCACAGGACCAGCTCTGCGGTCTGGAGCTCCACAGCTCGGAGTCTGTGGAGCAGGAGCGCGCACGAGCCCTGGCCTCCTCCGCTGAGCTCTCACAGACCGAACAGGAGTGGAGACATAAGGAGAGGATGCTGGGAAGAAGCCCCACTCTGTGTCCTGAGGCCAGCCGAGATGTGTTTGACAAGGTATCTTATATCAACACTCTAGAAGAGTCGTTCAGTGTTCATGTCATGCTTATTTCTGCATTGTATGATACAGTTCAGGGCTGCTGTTATCTCAGCACTTAACTCTTTAGTCTAAAAATAAAACGCACAGCAGTCGTCGTCGTCGTTTTCTTTGTCTCCCTAATCAAACACACCTGATTCAACTCATCAGCTCATTAACCCATGAGATAATGAGCCGATGAGTTGAATCAGGTGTGTTTGATTAGGGAGACAAAGAAAACGTGCAGTGTTGGGGGTCATCCAGGACAGGTTTGAAAACCACTGCTTTAATTCATCAAGGACACTTTAAATTGATGAAAAGTGATAGACATTTATAATGTTACAACAGATTTCCATTTCAAATAAATGCTGTTTATAAAGTAAATTTTTTTTAACCATGTGTAATAATACTTGTATACACCAAACAATAAAACATTATGCTGAATATCTTGGCCTTTCCTTAAAATGATGGGGTCGAGCTTCACATTGGCAAAAAAAGTAGCCCATACAGTCTTTTGACGTCATACTATAATGATTGTGTGACAACAGGCATCGTTATTCACTAATAATCTTCCACTCCAGTGAGCTGCTAAGGTTGCATTTCAATAGTTTTTTTTAATATACGTTTATATACTTCCCTAGTTTAAAAATGACTAGTTATGGTGGTGTTGTACCTGCAGTAATGGACTTCTTTATACTCCGTTTGTGGATATACCCCCACAAATCCACTTTTATGATGAAAAATATCTAGTTAAATGAATCCTTTTTCATTCTGCAATGGTTCATCAATACGTAGCAGCGGTGAAATTTTCCTTTTATTTATTAGACTGAACATTTTTACTGGCCCCACCATAAACAAAGGAATATATAAATAAATTAATATAGATATGGTTTTTATTGTGTTTGACTTTAAGGTTATGACACCAAATTTCAGATGAAATTTCAATTCTTGATTACAATTTTTATACCACAGCAAAAACTACTAGCCTAACTAATATAAATTTCAAATATTATTAAAGTAAACAGTCAGTAATAAAATAGGAACAAGTTGTGAAATTATGAGCAATTGTACAAATAAATACACCAGAATCAACATAAAAATTAAATAAACAGTGCTTTTCAGGATTTTTTGGTCTAACATTGGTTTTCAGGACAGAATTTGAATAAATTGAATAAAGTAATCAAATGTAAAATAGCACAGCATAAGTCAAGTCACCTTTACTTATATTGTGCATTTATACAATACAGATTGTTTCAAAGCAGCTTCACAGTGATAACAGGAAATGATTCAATAATGCAACAGCAGCTCTAAAAGAAAATAGTGTCACTGTTCAGCTGAAGATATTTCAGTGTTGATTCAGTTCCATTGTAAAGATCGTCAATTATTAAATTAGTTCATTTCATCTATAAAGCAGCTCTGTAGAAAACAGTGATGTCATCATCCGGCTCAGTTCAGTTCTCATACAACCGCGTCAGATCAGTAATATTGCTGAATAAGCAAGCCAGAGACGACAGTGGGAAGGAACCCAAACTCCATCAGGTGACGGGATGGAGAGAAAAATCCTTGGGAGAAACCGGGCTCAGTCGGGGGCCAGTTATCCTCTGGTCGACGAACGAACGGTGTATGATTATGGTTCAGGATGCATCACGAGTCAGAATCAGATTTTGGATCGGTAGCATTCAAATATTCATCCAGTTCCTTTTGCTTGAAGATCAGATTCATCACGCCCGTATGGAGACGAAGCTGGTCATAGATCTGTGCAGAGGACCTGTCTGGTTCTTGTGGTCTTTGCTGAGGATCTGTGCCGACAGATGTTGTGTCGACGAGGCCTTCACAGGGGATTGACTAGTTGACAGGATCTCTGCTGACATACAGGGCTGCGTTGAGGCCGTGTCTAGGTGCAGGTCCACCATCTGATCTGGATACGGCTGACTACGGTAACCTCGGGATAAACAGAGAGACTAATATTAGCGTGCTAAATAGGAAAAGGCAGTTGATTTTAATATTCTAGGTATTATCAACTAGCCAGAATTTTGAGATCGCAATAGACGTGAAGGAATATAATGTGTTAAGCGCTCGCTCAAGAACTGAGGAGTTAAAACATTTAGTGCTTTGTAAGTAATTAGCAGGATTTTTTAAATGTATACTATGTTTAATAGGGAGCCAGTCCAGTGTTGACAGAACCGGGCGAATATGGTCATACTTCCTGGTTCTGGTTAGAACTCGAGCTGCTGCGTTTTGGACCAGCTGGAGTTTGTTTATTAAGCGTGCAGGGCAACCACCCATACGAGCTTACAATAATCTAGCCTTGAGGTCATGAACACATTAATTAACTGTCCCGCATTTGTCATTAAGAGCATATTATGTTGTTATTTATATATATTTAAAGTATATCATAGTCTTCACTGAAGCATACTCTGTGAGTCCTTTGTTGTTTGACTGTTATATTAGGCTGCTGTCACTTTAACCCTCTGATGGTCTTCAAAAAAAAATCACACTCGTGGTCTTCGGGGTCTATTGGACCCCAGACAACAACATTTAATTTTGTAACCGAACAATATATATATTTTTTTACAGATATAATTTTACACTGTTTATTAATGTTTTTACTCAACATTTGTGCAGTTTTTGGAGGATTTATGATTTTTTTTTTCTATAAATAAATAAATATTTAATTTAATAGGATTTTTACAAAAAAAACAGCATTTTATGGTAAATAAACTTTATAAAAGACCCAGATTTCTAACTTTCATTCCTGGGGATACCATGGATAATTTTACAAGGTTTAATGTAAGATTTTTGCCCATTTTTTGGAAAATACAGGTTAAAATTTTTAATAAATCACTTTAACCACTAGATGGCTATAGAGCTCCATTATATGCTATTTGCTATTTGAATTACGGAAATATATAGTTTCTGAAGTTGGATTCAGTTGGATTCATATCTAAATATTATAAAATCACAATTATAAAAAAAAAAAAATACTTTGTCAAAATTTAGCATTTTTTGTACTGAAAAAACACTATGCATGGTAAACCACATGACTTCTGCAGACAGGGTTGGAGCAGTTTTGGCACTTCACTGTTGTTGTTGTTGGGTGTGTGTGTGTACATTGTCGATGTGTCAGTGTCACCAATTTATTTTTGTGGTGGTTCTTCATTTTGTATGATTTTATTTGACAAATTATAAGACTTTTTTTATAGCCTTACAAATGTATTCCTGTGTGTTTGTGTGTGTGTATGTGTGTGTGCGCACATTTTCAATGCGTCTAAGTGTTACCAATTTATTTTTCTGGTGGTTCTGCATTTTAGATTATTTTATTTTACAAATGATAAGAGAACAGTTTTTATAGTCTGTATGTATTCCTGTATAAATGTATTCCTCTATATGTGTGTGTGTGTGCGCCTGTGGTGAGCATGATAATTTTGGATTGTGGATGTTTTTTGCATTGTTGGAAGTGTGCCACTTTATTTCTGTCTATGTGTTCTACGTTGTTTCTGATTTTGATGATGTTATTTTGTCTATTTTGATTGCGGGGTCCAATAGACCCTGAAGACCACGAGTGTGACTATTTTTGTCACGCCAACATAAAAACAGATATCATTCAATTTTTTTTTTTTTTTTGTAGATCTAGAAAGTGTTGAGAGCCGTAGAAAGTTTCAAACCATTTGGACAAAGAGAACATTTTTTTTAATTTGAGCAAAAGTCATTTGGGGTCCAATAGACCCCGAAGACCATCAGAGGGTTAAGACAAATATAGTGTTACACATGCATTTTATTTCTCAACTGTTTACGTTCACACATTTACACAGTTACGTTCAGACTTAACCAACTGTGTGTATGAGGATACTCTACAAGACAGGCATTTTGACAATTTTGTGTGAATTTGTTCAAGTGCAAGAAGGCATGAAAGAGAACTTAAATCAGTATTTGCGCGTAGTCTGAGAAGCTGCTTTCTGGGCGCTTGAGGTGCTTTGCGAGTACCGAATTCACTTCAATTTCACGTCTTCAAGCGCCTGAATATTTAAATTGGCAGTCCTATTTGATGAGCCCTGACTATTTGGTCTTTTAACTTTTGCTGTATTTTATTTGGTATAGTTTGCCAGTTTTATTTACATTACATTTATGCATTTGGCAGATGCTTTTATCCAAAGCGACTTACATTGCATTCCAAGGTACACATTTTTACATTCTTATCAGTTCTTGCTTTCCCTGGGAATCGAACCCATGACCTTGGCGTTGCAAGCGCCAACGCTGTACTGTGTGAGGTACAGGAATATTGTTTGAGCTACAGGAATCCAACAGCTGTTCCCACTTACATCTGTTGTCTGTTTGAAGTGTCTTTGTGCGTGCATATTCATGTTTACCAGGAAAATTCTGTCCTAAAACTGCGTTTGCGATATGGGAAAGTGTCAGTTAATACTTGGGTCAAAATTGACCCAGAACACAATAGGTGTTACAATGTTCAATTTATTCTTCAAATGGTTATATCTCTTAAATACCTTTTTAAAAAATCTTAAATAAATTTTGTGTATATTTTGATAGTATTCTTAGCTTGTTTGCTTAACATACTAAAACCTGGACTTTTGGAGAAATTTTGCTTTTCTTTTCTTTTTTTTTTACACTTTACAATAAGGTGTCATTTGTTAACACAAGTTAACTACATTAGTTAACTAACAATGAACAATATTTCAACAGCAAAACATTTTAAAGGTCAAAAGTTGTATGGTAAATGGTAAATGGACTGCATTTATATAGCGCTTTCACAGACCCAATGTCCACCAAAGCGCTTTACATATTGCCTCACATTCACCCATTCACTCACTCATTCATACACCGACGGTGTATGAATCTATGTATCTGTTAACACTAGCTCATGTACTGTGAACTAACATGAACATGAAATGTATTATTAACTAACCTTAACGAAGGTTAATAAGCGCTGTAAAAATATATTGCTCATTGTTTTTCCATGTTAATTAATGCATTAAATATGTTATCAAATAAAACCTTATTGTAAAGCTTTACCAAATATTTTTATGTACCTCAAAAACGGACCCGAATGCAATAGGAGGAATATAATTAATGATCCATTTGATACAAAAATGGATGTTATTGCCCATTTGTTTTGTGTGCTTGCACAAAATCTGAATTGAACACATTAAGTGTTAGTGTGTAGATTGCTGATGCCCCTTTTCTCGTTTTTTCCTAGAGTATCATAAACATGTCTCAGTCTTGGCCTAATGAATCTGATCATGATAAGAACTTGGGCTTCAACCAGCGCAATGAAGAACTCTTGAAACATTTTGGTAAGTTATGGGGTTTGTGTTTGATTCGAATGCTTATTAATAATGCAGACTGTTGATCCTAATGGAGGTTGTCGCTTCTTCTGATTGGACAGGTATGTTGAGGAGGTGGGATGATAGTCAGCGCTTTCTAGCAGAGTACCACCATCTCATCTGTGAAGAAACGGCCAATTACCTGATCCTGTGGTGCTTTCGTCTGCAGGCAGAGCAAGTGGGTCCTCTTTCATTCTCTAAATAATATTCTACCTGTACTGTTTCTGTAGTTTGTTGTATGTAATCTGTGCACTCGCATCACATGACCTGCCTCTGATACTGATTGCAGAAAGAGGCCTTAATGGAGCAGGTGGCTCATCAGGCTGTCGTCATTCAGTTTATTCTGGAAATGGCGCGCAACACACAGCAAGACCCGCGAGGCTGCTTCCGTCAGTTCTTTCAGAAAGCCAAAGTGAGACTCACGTCTGCACCGCAGCGCTGCGACATCACCTTCAACCGGTTTTACACAAGACATTACACATCTCTTACTGTACACAAGTTATTCAACCAGAGAGGTGCAGTAATAAAGTCCACAAGGATGTGGATTGAGGAATAATTAAGATTTCTTAATGTTTTTGAAAGAAGTCTCTTATGCTCTTCAAGGCTACATTTATTTGATCAAAAATACATTTAAAACTGCAATAATGTGAAATATTTGTACAGTTTAAAAGAAGTGTGTTCTCTTTGAATACATTGTAAACTGTAATTTATTCCTGTGATCAAAGCTGAATTTTCAGCATCATTACTCCAGTCTTCAGTGTCACATGATCCTTCAGAAATCATTCTGATATGATGATTTGGAGTAATGATGCTGAATATTCAGCCTTAATCAAAGGAATAAATTACATTTTAAAATAATTTCAGTGAATTGAATAATGATTGCGACCGTAGATGACAGAAAAACACGGAGAGCAGCTTTAGTTTCTGCTCTGACAGCCGCAAGATCACGCCGAACACTGTGAGTGTGTGTTAGAAATCAGGAATGGTGAGAGAACATTGTGCTTGGTTTGTTTTTCATCTCTAAACCAAACTTGAGTCTTCAGCCGACAAAGTTTAACTCCCGTCTGGCTAGCGCACCTCCCGTAATGTTTACGCATTAGGTCAGTGGGCGGAGAGAAGACGGTCTTTTGTGGCTGTTCGAACGCATTCGACCACATGAGTGTTCACACTACGAAAGCAAGCCGGTCAAATGCGTTTTCAACCACCTCTGGAAGTGGTCAAAAATGGACAAGCTCAAAACGTTTTAAACCCCATTTACACCTGAATTTAGCCTCGTCCACTTGTGATCCGATCGAGCAAAACGCATCTTAATACCAGGTGTAAACAGGGCCTGAGTGTTATGCAATAATGTCAGTGACCACTAGAGAGAGACATGACATAACTGACAGCCTGAGGACAGATGAAGTTCATAATCACACATTCATCCATGTCATGTGATTGAACTCGCATGATTTTTTCACTGAAAGTGAAAACTTTGAATGCTCTTTGAATCAATTTTAATCTTGCTTTGCTCTTTTTTTAAAGGCTGGGCAGGAGGGATACTTGGATGTCTTTCACACAGAACTCAAAGCCTTCAAGCAGAGAGTGAAAGAGTGTACCATGAAATCAAGAGGAGGAACTCCAAACGAGGCGGTGCACCAAAACACACCGCCAGGCTGTCGCCTCGACCCCAAGGAGGTTTTGGAGTCTTTGCCACCGGTAGGAATGATCATACGCGTAATTTGCAGGAGGGACATTGTCCCCACCACTTTTTGAAACATCTCGGGGCACGGATGTACCGTATACAAATCAAACATCTCCAGTTGACTAGCAGAGCAAGCCCGTAGGCAGGGGGGGTTCGGGTGGTTCGAACGAACCCCCCTCACTGCCAAAGGTCCAGAATTTAAGTCGTTTAAAAAAAAATATATATATTTATGTGATTATTGTCATCATTGTTTTAATCAATGCTTGTGACAAATATTCTTGGTTGCTGTTTCAAATTAATATGATTATTGTGTAGCTGGACGCGTGTGTGTGTGTGCGCCGCGCGTGCAGTTCAGAGAGAGTTCTCGCAATACACTTTTCAAACCAACTGTGAAGAAGCATCGCATCTGAATGATAGGGCTGGGGATCGAGTCCAAAAAGAATCGATTCCGAGGCGTTGGGAATTGAAAGTCGATTCCAAAGGTTCAAAATGCAATGGTTGGAATCGATTCCGGGGAATGATCTTACTCGTTGTAGTTTAGGACAAGTAATAAATCTGATTTATGAAATCAATCGACAAAAACAATCAAATTAACTTTTAAGTTATTAAATTCAAGTTCACGCAAACGTTTCCGTCTGCTGCGGCTGTCTGTCATTCATTCTCCATTCAGCGTTCAAACAGCGCGTTGCGTTCGGTTACGACAGTCAACATGATGAAACTCCCTCCAAGATGATTCACTGTTGCTATTATTAGGCTATACTTGATCTGTAGATAAAGCTCTATGGTTTCGCATAAAATGACTATATTGCTGGACTGCATTGCTGTATCTTAACCATGTTCCTTTGTTAGAACACAGGAGAGCACTATCATTCTTCACGCGCACAGTAACTGACATTTAAAACTGTTAAATGAAAAGGCTCAATAAACTATTTTATAGATAGATGGCAAAAAATGCATCTCAAAATGCATCAGATTGATGCTTTAAAATATGGAATATTAAAAAATTTCTCACGGGGGAGCATGCCTCCGGACCCCCCTAGAGGGGTAATATCCTTCTCACCTGGGGGAGGAGTTATATATATATATATATATATATATATATATATATATATATATATATATATATATATATATACTGTATATATATATATACTGTATATGTATTTATTTTTCTTTTTTTTATTAAAAGGATTTCTATATTTTATCCACTCAATAGACTACAATATAATAGCCATATAAACGTTATAATAATAAACTATTTTAGGTGCATCAAAAAGCGTGCTCATTAACCAGCAGACAAGCTAATCCAGCACAAATTAGTGCATAAAAGGTCACCAAAATTAAGTATTTGAACCTCATAATTAAATACAAAAGGAGGAAAAAAACTGCAAAAATGTCCACTTTTTGAAAAAAAGAACCCCCCCTTTCAATAGGCTGGCTACGGACCTGCAGAGTATTCATTTTGTTTGTTTGTGTTAAATTAGAGGCGATCTGGCGCTGGAATGTGTTGATTTTGAAATCATCTTGATTTTGAAAACCAAACATCTTTGGTTTTAATGTGAAAAAAATGAATAAACTATTCGAGGGTGGATTAGAACACAAACCTCTCTGACACGCTTGACAAAAGTTGGGCCGCCAGACCTTTACAGCACACAAACGTTTATTGCGGATCGGTGTATATTTATTCACTGACGTGAAGAATCTCAGGAGTCAGGACTAGTAATATTAATACTGTATTCTAGTAGTTGTAAGGATGAAACTTACACATTAAACATGACTTCTATTTCGATAAAGTAAAATCAATGTACTTTTGAAATTGATTTCTGGACATCGTAATGTTATTTTTATGCAATTGTTATTAGGCTACATATCAGATATAGCGTTGTATTAGAAACTGCCACACACTTTTTACAACAAAGTTACGCCACTGGGAATGATAATTGAATCTGTTAGTTGTATGTGCTGTAATATAATGATGTGTTTTGGCCTCAATGACAGCATGAAGCACGGTGAATCAGAACATGTTTCATGGTTGATATATATAGTTATGTAGAGAACCATTTTGAACCAGTGAGATTTCACTGTGGGCGTGAATGCATTGAAAATAGACTGATGACAAAATGTACCGTCACACTTAATTCACACATAATTCGCAGCTGGTTCGGACACATCTTGACAATATATACTCTTGTGAACGATTTCAATGTTGATCAATAATACAGTAAAGACACTAATATTGTGAAATATTATTACAATTTAAAATAATCGTTAAAATGTCATTTATTCCTGTGATCAAAGCTGAATTTTTAGCATCATCACTCCAGCAGGGCTCGACATTAAGGCTTGTCCGCTTGTCCGGGACAAGTGGATTTTTGTAGGACAAGTAGAAGAGAAAAGTAGAAGACAAAAAACTTGTCCGACCAGACAAGTTAAATTTCAAACAAAATAAAATGCCATGTTACTTCACGTTATGTGCCACTCGTTACGTCTATTTTACAGATTTAATTTTACCGATTTGAAACGAACACATTTTTTCGCGCTGCCTGTGAATGTCCTGAATGTGACTCACAGAAAGACGCGCGCCAGTATAATGCGCATGCACAGACCGCGCGCCAGAAGTTCTCTTTCGCGCTTGAACGAACATCAACAACACACACAATTAAGCCAAAATGTCATTTGTCGAGTATCTTCATAACATAAGAACAGTCTTATGATGGACATAAAGAGTTGTGACTCGTGAGAGAATGAGGCGCGTGTGATATCCGCGTCTCTGTCCACAGCGGCTGCTCTTAAAGGGCCAGCTACCAATAAAGCGTTCTGTCAGTAAAGTTACTGAAAGAACAAAGGGAACAGAGAAAATTACTCACTGCTCTTGACTAAAGAACTTGTGTAGCTTCAATAAGTAGTAGTCTATATATAATTTATAATTTATGCAGCCCAGACTGTTTGATAACTTTATTCAATTTCTGTATATGTCCTACCTGTTAGACAGTTAATTTTTATCCAGACATCAATGGCTTATTGATCATTATAGGTGTTATCAATCATTTAGTTGTTATTGCTAATTTCAGAATTATCACTAATCTGTGTGTGCATTTGGTTTAGAACCAAACAAGTTGACTCATGAAACCATTTGTTTATTATATCGCAATCGCATATCACAACCGCAATATTGAACTCAATAATCGCAATATGACATTTTCCCCAAATCGTGCTGCCCTAGATAAAATTATAAATCTTTACCCGGACAAGTGACTTTTGTGCATGGACAAGAGAAACATAAATTTACTTGTCCGAAGGACAAGTGCCTCAAAAAGTTAATGTCAAGCCCTGATCACTCCAGTCTTCAGTGTCACATGATCCTTCAGAAATCTTTGTAATATGATGATTTGATGCTCAAGAAACCTTTCTGATTATTATCAATGTTGAAAACAGTTGTGCTGCTTGACTTCATATCTTTGTGGAAATACATTTACTTTTCCGGCTTATAGAAGGTTAAAAAAAGCTTCTTTTTTTCTGAACAATGCAAGTCTTTACTGTCACTTTTGATCAATTGAATTGCGTCCTTGCAGAATTAAATAAATTCTTTCCCAACTTTTAAATAGTAGTGTCGCTAGTAGCAATCTATAAAACGAGTCAAATGTTGACTTTGCAGGAGCTGTAAACATGCATCCAGATGCAAGATATGCAGGTTCTTCAGAATGTGCTGAGCAACATGAACCCACAGGTAACGCCGCAGCACGAAGGCCCGTTCACACCAAGGACCAGAACTATAGCGATAAAGATCGTTCACACCACAACTATAACGATAAAACGGCAGAGGAACGATACTGTTGGAATCACTTTCAAATGCTGAAGAACATTAAAAACATTGACAGCCAATCAGAATCCATCCTGCTTTAACGAGCTCCAGCATTTAAAGTGGCAGACGACGAAACTGGACGATATCATGTGTTGGTGAGGAAGCGAATATAGTTATAGATATCGTTTTTGGTGTGAACAGCACTTGATGCTGTAGAACATCATAACCTGTCAAACATGCACTTCAAAATCCTATGATTCGTCTTGATGATTACAGTTCCCTGAATTATTATTTTATTACTGTTGGAGAAGAGATTTGTGGCTCTAGTAGTGCTGTTGTGATGCCGCTGATTGTGAAAAAGAACTGATTCTTGGATCCTAACCCCACAAATGTTATGGTACAGCTTTAGCTTTTTCAGGTTCTTGAACACTTGCTCCACTTTCAACATCACACACACATGCTGCTAAGTCAATGAGTCAAAGGACAGGGGAAGAGTTGCATAACTGCTTTAATCTGCAGTGTTTCCTTCCTCTGACCTATAATCCCTCTTCCTGCGCTGCAGATCTGCATCAACATGGATGTGCAGATTAAAACACTGCAGTTTAAGGAAGAGATCACACAAATATTCAATGTCATTTATTCACCCTCATTTCGTTCCAGAACCGCTTGACCCACCAAACACGTAGCTTCTTTTCATTTAAGAGTTCTTTTAAACTTTCTATTTATCAAATAATCCTTTATAAAAAATTAGTGGTTTCCACAATAACATCGATAATAATAATAATAGGAAATGTTTCTTGAGCAGCAAATCCGCATATTAGAACGATTTCTGAAGGATCATGTGACACTGAAGACTGTCCCCTTTTTTCTTTCATCTGGAAATAAAAGTTTATGCCATTTAAAAGTGGTAGATTCTGTTTGAAAACATTTCAGAGTAACATTGATGTTGTTTTGTTAGAAGGAATTTTATTAAATTCAATGGAGTTCATACTGGTAATTCTCATGTTATATATTCTTATAAACTTCATATAATGATAAAAATAATTATTGATATATATTGAAATATACATAAATATTAATAAAATCTATATTTTCTTGCAGCACACTGGTTTTTGCTGTAGTTCTTGTAAATTTAAGAATTTATCTGTTTTATGAATAAAAAGGGGTTAAATATAGCAATAGCATTGTAAAAACATGGTAACATTCACTCATTAAAGAGACGTTACTGATCAGATACAATATCCTTTAAGTTTAAAAATATTAAGTTATGACTGTTTTATAAGCTTAAGTTTATATGCTGCAAGTCACAGTCGTCAGCCGTTTATTAATATCCTCTTTCTCAATTGTCACAGGTGGCAGAATACCACGTGAAGCGCTGCTTGGAGGCAGGAGTTTGGACGAATATACCACGAGCCTCCAAAGAGGAGAGTTCAGAAACAGACGAGTGGAGGATGATGGAGACCTAGCAGTGAAGACAAACCTTCAGTAGGAAAACGGCTTTGGGTCGGAGGACGGGAAGAACAAGGGCTGCAGTGCTCAAAGACTTTTCTTTTGTATCCGTGCCTGAATGTGTGCTGCACTTTATATTTGTTTAATAGAGAAAGTATTTTAAAAGAAGACAGGAAACTGTATTTTGTTACATTTCTGTTGCTCACTTTTCGTCAATCTGTTTTAGCAGTTTGAAAAAAAGTTTAGGAAAGAGGTACAAGCAGGAGCGCAAAGGGAAACCTCAAATATTTCCGCATAGTTTGAACCTTTTTTGTCATAAATTGGTTTTAAGTCAACAAGATCAGTGCTATTTGAGAAGCCTTTTGCTGTTTTCTTTGTGTTTGAACTTTTTGTTTCATATCTCCACCTTTGGATTGTAATCTATAAGGTCCACTGCACGTTGAACTCCAGCTGCTATCTGGGAAGTGTTTCATGTGTCGTGTGTGCATGAACGCGGCAGATAACAGTGGCTTCCTGCAGATAGAGGAACGACACTGAGGCGGGACAGGAACGCCCACTTTACAGTCGTGCTGGGAGTGAGACCTTGGCAAAAATTCATTTGCAGTTCCAACTGTACGGCGTGAAAACCAGCAATGCAATGTTGTTGTTACCTACAGTTTTAATGAAAGAGATTCACATTTACTGTTGTCAAAATGTAAAGTTTGATTTGATATCAAAAGCAAAAAAAATGGCAAACGTCCAAGCGATATTTCGTCTTGAGGTTTTAGATTCTGTCATTATTTTCTCTCCCTCATGTCGTTCCTAACCTGTATGATTTATTTTCTTCTGTGGAACATAAAAGATATATATATATATATATTTATACAATGAAGGTCAATGGGGTCCAAACAATGTTGTTTTGGACCCCATTGACTTTCAATATATGGTTAAAACCAAAAAACATTCTTCTAAATATGTATAATATAATATTTTGCGTTCTACACAGATGAGAGCAAGTCATACATGTTTGAAACAACATGAGGGTTATGCAAAACGATGACAGAATGTACTTTTTTTGGGTGAATTGTCCTTCAGGATAAGATTTTGAGAGCTTTCCCTTACCAGATTTTAGGAAACGTATTCATTGAAACCCTGCAGAAGCTGTTTGCATTGCTTGTACTGCACACATTTACAGCAAACCTAGGATTTGTGTTATAATAAATGTGGTGATATTGTGCAAGTCTTTTACGAGCAGATCAAACAAACTGAACTAAATCTTTAGACCCACAGTATCGCTGAATGCTTGAAACGTTTTATTTCACCGTTATTAAAATAACATGCGAGCACTATAAATGTTTTGCTAGCTCTCTGTGAGAGGGATTCTCCTTATGATGACATGCGCACAATAAACTCTGGCTTAAAACGTTGTTTATGGGGGAGGGGCTTTTTTTTTGGCCGTGAGGTAAGTGGGTTTTACAAGTAGGATAAAATATACAATATGTGCTTCTTTTAGCACGTCCACTCATCAAAAGGAACATAACGCATCGGTCATAAAATGTAACGATCTTAAGTTAATATATATATGGTGTTGTATGAACCTACGTGGGAGATAGTGATTGAGAAAATACTGGATAATTACTAGTGACATTGATAAGAAAAATGTATACTTTATTTTTATTGTTATTATCTCTCTTACTCGGCCAATCTTTTGGTACAAAACATATAATGTAAACCGTGTGATTATTTACATAAAAATCTAGAGCTTCACTACCAAAACAAACTAAAAAGAGTCAAGCTTCACTGTTTATTGCAGTTGTTTCAAAGGTCCGCTTTCTAAAATCACATTCAGTAACGTTACATTACATTTAATAATTTATCCATTATTCAATAGCAGGGTTTTCAGTCACAACAATGTATACAGTGATTCACAAACTGTTTTATAGTTAATGATTTGCACTTAGGACTCCTCAACCACACAATAGTGTTTTATCAATACAAAAGGACTTATAAAACAGCATTTTCTGACATTTTGATCACATAGAATTTCTTTCCCTAATGATTACTGTATCAATAACCTTTCTTAATTAAAAAATAACATTATTTTGTATATGAAAAAATATGGACTCTGTTAATAGTATTCATTCAATCTACAATTAAACATTGCTACGCGATCATCAGACTAGTAATTAGATTGTTTTTGCTAATAAAGGCCACAGTGGTTCACACAAAATGTGCGGTACAGGTTTGAAAAATATTTTTGCACTGCATTCATCCGAGAACTTCATAAAAACTCCTGAATGAGATTTAAACAGGAATGTTTTTGTAGCTGCCGCGTTTTGCAGCAACTTCAGTTAAGCACGAGGGAAGAGTCGACTATTAGCATGCCTATAACACTCGAAGCTAGTTTGTTTGCTTAAGATGGCAGCGCTAGTGTTCAGAAGACCAGTTTGACGATAAACCTTTAGTTTGCCACTAACTTGTCATAAACCAGCTGCGACACTAAAGGCTTCAGCGTGTAAATACAGTAGACCGCTTCAGGCCACAGAGGTGCGTTGTGCTTCTTCAGACAGTGTACTTCAGGTGTTGTAAAAGTCCTTGTGTTTTGTTGTAGAATCAGGCTTTTCCCATAGCCTGCTGGATTCCTGGGATTTTCCTGGTCAGGAAGGCATGAACGTGAGGCCATATCTTGTTGGTTTCAGTTCCTGAGAATGTCTCCAACACTCCTTTACTCCTGTTAAAATATATCACACGTAATGACTTAAACACATTATTATTCATGTGATGTTACACTCTCAGTCCAGCTTGAAGGAATAGTTCATTATCATCCCCAAAATGATGTTCCTCCTTTGACCAGACACTGGAGAACCAATGACCGTTGATGTAATGCAGGGTTTCCCAAACTCCCAAACAGGGGATTGATTATATCGAATGTACAATAAAATAATAGGAGCTGCATGATAACTGTGATACGATTCACTGTATTCAGCATCTCGGGAACGCAACCTGCGCTAGGATTACTTGATTTACACATTCTCATGGTTTCCAACATTTCTGTGGGCAGAAGACTACAGTTATCAGCAGTACTGTGCCAAAATAAAAGCACGAATGTTTGAAATATTTAAAGCTTGAGGCTTTAATTTAGGCGGGCATAAATATTAGTATTGTAACTTGTGGTGTAAAATAAAATTATTATAAACAAATATTTATTTTTTTACAGGAGAATATGTCATATATAAATATATATATTCTTCATTTCTGTTATTAGTTCAACATAATAATAACAATACATTGTTAAAAAAAATGATTGTTGCAATTAGCAATCACAATTTTTTTGAGATAACTCAAATATCTAAGTTGGCTAAACTTAAAGGTTTAAGGCAGCATGAACAATTACTTTGAAACAATATATTTAAACTAATAATATTCATTATTATTCTACAACTTGATTAGGTTCCTAAAACCCCATTGTAAATAATGTAATATGGAGTGAGACACGTTTACAACTAAAAAGAGGTTCGAGTCCACTTTTAAACTTTGACTATAAAGTCAAAATAAAACTAATTAAAGGTGACCTATAATTCAAAATTGAATTTACCTTGGTATAGTCAAATAACAAGAGTTCAGTGCATGGACATGACATAGAGTGAATCTCAAACTGGACTGTTTTTGCGTTCTCATTTAATTCACGTTTATGAAAAACACCCCTGAAAAACGGTCGGTTCTCCACACAATACCGACTGTGACGCAATAGTCGGGATCATTAATATGTACGCCTCCAAATATTTGCATAATGCCAGCCCTCAATGCCAGGCGGAACTGCGCAGCCGAAGCATGGCAGTTGCTCAGTGTGGATGTACACATGAACACAAAAGTATTTTTTAGTTCCTTCATCTGAGCCTCTGAAGAAACAATGGGTTAATTTTATTTTCTCTGGAAATTTCCAAACATTTCACCGACAGAGCTGGCCTCGGATCGAGCTACCAAGCAACACTTTCTGATGTGTAATTGTTCAAGTTCAGACAGGTAATCTTTCTCTCAAAATCGTTCAATACTGTTTATGCATAAGTAAGTCAAGCCAGAGACTAAAATATCAGCTTCACATCGTTTCTTTTAGTAGGATGAAAATAATCGTATTTAAATTGTGAACAAATTATATACAGAAAGCGATCAAAGAACAATCTTTCCACACAGCGCGAGTTTATCTGGACACTTGCCAAACTCGTTATGAATTAAATGACGCACGTTACTGCACAACGAAGCTCTTACTGTATTTACATCATCGTGTTTGCATTGGTGAAAGCAGAGAGAGTGCAGAAACTGCTTTGCAATGATAAGATCTTCATTCTCGCGATCAACACACTGTCATCTGCTCAATGCTCATCACGGCAACATTTTATGTGATGGGAATAGATCTAAATACTTAAAAAACATCTCACGATTCGTTAATCTCGATAGCTGTTATAGTAAAAACGTATAATAGCAGTAGTAAAAGTATTCGGGAGAGAGTTTCACATGTAATGCGTAGCTATTTCATATGCAAGCATGTCAGCCAATCACAGCAGTGGCCGCGGTTACACTGAATCCCACAGCAGACACGCCCCTTCAAAGTTCAAATCAGAGGCTAAAAGCAGGCTAGGAAAAATGCCATTTATTTCTAAATTATGATTATTTTTTATCTAAAAAACATACTAACATTATAAGGGTAACCCAGGAAACATTATAAAATAATTAAAAAAAACATTCTAGGGCACCTTTAATATTCTATAATATATTCTGATATATATATATATTTACTTGCATGTCATGTGACCATTAACCAACATCAGAGAACTGTGGACAAGCAAATGTGTTTATTGTGTATTAATGTGTATTAATAATGAAATATTAATATTTAATAAAGTTAATATTTTACTTCTATGGGGTTTGGCTGACAAAAATGTTTTATGAACCCCTGATGACATCAAAGCTGGTGCAACATGCTTCGATTTGAATGTACAAGAGAACGCAAGTGAGATTTCATAACTTAATCCCGCAAATAACAACTTGATCCGTCCTCTGAAGATTTTACATATAGATTTTACATATGTAGAATTAAGACTACTTTAATGTTACTTTTTGTGAGTGTGTTTTGGAGCTCATAAGCCTCACTTTCATTGCATGGAAAAGAGCAGCATGAACATTCTGCTAAACATCTTCCTTTTAGGTCCATGTAAGAAATAAATTCATACAGATCTCAGAAGCACATGCGTGTGAGTAAAGAGTGACAGGATTTGGGTGAACTATTCCTTTCAATATTTTCTGTGGTGTGTGTTACTGCATTGTTTCATTCAGCATAAATCATAAAGAAAACACAGCTTTCTGCACAGTACCTGTAGTACTCTAGAACCGGTTGTGTCTGTCTCTCATAGTCCTTCAGTCTTCTGGACACAGTTTCGGGACTGTCGTCGTCTCTCTGGACCAGCGGTTCTCCTGTGACATCATCAAGACCCTGTGCAAATAGAGACCAATGATTACGCTCTATAGGCACACACACGACATCACAAACACCCGACTTTAAAACGCGCCATAAACGCCAAATTAACGGTGCCTTTGCTCAAGAGTTCATGTATTGAAACAGTCAACAAGCCTTGGCAGGCGTTGTCCAACTCCACGGCTGACCTTCAGACACGCAGGTTTGTGTGGACATAACTGTATTTGAGCAACACTGACAAACACTGTTTCACACTTGGCTTGTTCTGTATTAGTTCAGAACACACTGAATTGCTGTCTTGTTTGAAATGATTGCAAAGATGACTAAAATATAACCATTTTGAAACAGTTTTGAGTCATAACTCTTTGCGACTTCAAAGGCTTTGTGGTGGAAAGTCTTTTAGAAGCTCTTGCATGTAAACGGCGTATTACTCATTCTTTGTTCAGTTTTACTTTTCTTAAACTCCCTGCCCTTAGACGTGGTTCTTTTTCTTTGAATGTATAGCAGCAACTATATTTTAACTTATTTACAGGAAGTCTGTGCTCCAGATTTATTGCAGGGATCAGAGCAAAGTTCCTCAGTAAACAGAAGCGTTCTTATCTGTCTTGAGAGCTCAGGTTGTGAAATACCATGACCTACTTTTACCACAAGAACAAGTTTAACACACACACACACACACATTTATATCAGCTTCATTTAAAAAAAAAAACTTTTTACTGTTTTTTTTATTTTTATTTAAAGAAAAACTGTTTGTTAGAATTTGTTTATATGTTTAAAATCTTTAAACATGAAAAATTACATAAATTTAATTGTAAAATTAATTTATATTGCATATTATCTAGAAAACGTATCTATATATACACATCACATATGTATTATGTATTAACCATATGTATTAAACCTTGTGAAAAGAAAGTGTGCTTAATTTTACTGAATGTGCCCTTGTAGTGTTAGTGTAGTTCAGATCTATGTTTTTAAGTATATATCAATTTTTTAAAAACTGTACTTGCAGATAATATAACATTTCTGCAATAAAAGGCCACTTAAGTGTAGTGAAAGGGTGCACATTCATGACTGTTTCTTGACACACTTAAGTACACTTTTAAAAAGTGCCCTTTGCAATCATGTCAGATTAAACGCTTTAGTTTAAAGTCTATTTTAAATCATTGTTTTAAAAAATCATATTTTGTGCTTTAAAGTACACTGTTGACTAACATGCTAAAGTACGTGTAGTATTTGATTATCATTTTAACTGTAATGTAACTTTGCTCAACACTGCATTTACAGTTAATATATTTTAAATTGTACTAATTTGATTTGCCAGTTCATTACAAAAGTGTAATTACGAATATACAAGTTTCAATAGAAATGACATTAACAGTATATTTTAGTTTAGCATAAATGCTTGTCAGTACATTCCTCAGTACACTTTAACCATATTCCAAAGACAATAGAATTATGAAATGACATGTAAAATGTATTTAAGTCATAATTAAGTACACTTAAAAAAGCACTCTAAGTTCAGCTAATTGCATTTAATATACATTTAAACTATAACACTTTCATTTAATTGCAATTATCATGCAATTAAGTGTACGTTCAGTTCGCACTTACTGTAAGTATATTCTTTCAAAGCAACAATACTCTTTTTAAAAGTACGTTAAGGGTTGTTTTAAGCATTCGGTGTGAATTCACATGCACCTCACTCTTGCGAACAGCATTTCAGCACAAAGCAAATATTCAATAACTACCTGCAATCCAGTTTAACCAGGCCACGGTCAATGTTAGTACTTTTAGTGCAAACACACCTCCTTCATTCAAATTAGGCAAACAAATTCACAAAACTCAGCACCATTTACCTGACGTAATTAACGTCGCACTATTATTACCTGCAGAAAACAGGGATTAAACAGCATTTTCAGTATGTTTTCTTACATTTCTATTGATCACGGCAGCAATACTGATCGAATGTATTTTCACAGCATTTTTTGCAGTATAGACCAGTGTAGCCCGGCCTCTTTTTCTGTTCTGTCATTCGGTTTGTATTTCCACAGCGTGAAGGAAAGATCTTACGGATTTATGAATGAACCGCTCGTTTTAAAATCGGTCTACTGACATTTGTTATGACATCCGTTTCAAACAAATGCTCAACAATAAGTTAACTTAACAGGTGTACAGGTCACTGTGGAGTTTTTATATGAGCAGAGGTGGCCAACTTCCTGTTTCTTTCGTTTAATTATCAACAGTTCCCTGAAGTGATGTTAAACAGGATTGTAAATATCTCAACAGCCGCAGAGGACTCACCGGCTTCTTGGGCGGGTTGAAGTCTATATTATAGACCCTGCCGCTGGGAAGGTGCACCCAGCGGGACGTCAGGCGCTCTCTGATGGTCTGGAAAGGCACATCCAGGTTTATAACAGAGTCCACATCACACACGGCGTCCAGGGCCTCGGCCTGAGCCCCGGTGCGAGGAAACCCTGCCAGGACACAGAGGCACAGCATGAATAAAGATCATACACATAAGATCTATAGCAGAGCATGTTCGCTGCGGTGAGAGTGGTACCGTCCAGCAGCCAGCTGGTCCGCTCGATTCCCCTCAGACTGGACAGGATGAGACGCGAGATGACATCATCAGGAACCAGCTGACCCTGATCGATACACGACTTCATCAGAAGACCCAAATCTGCCCAGGTGCATAAGAGACAGAATTGAGTTATTCCATAAATACAGAAGAAATCCACAAATAAATATAGTCAGGAACTCATTTTTTACGTTGTATTTATTTAATTTTACCAATGAAATAATTGATAGTAATATGACGCGTCTGTCATTACTCATATTCATGGTTTCTAGTGTGATGTAAGGCTGTAAGGTTGATCATTACCTCAGTCTCAAATGACTTTTACCACGCTCCTATTAACTATTCAATTGGAAATGATGTGTGACCAATACAATGAACTTTAGTCATTCATACATGAACTTTAGTGTCTCTACACATTTCAATAACTCGGTAATAACCGTCCTGTGAGTGACCCTTTGTGATATTTCAGTTTAGTGCTGCATATTTTAGGCCTATAATACTGTATATAACTACACTATCGTTCAAAAGTAATAATACTCTAATAACAGCATTAGTAATAAATGAATACCACCCTGTTTTGTTCAGTTCTTTGTCGCTGATCGTCATTAGTAAGTGTGCTGAGTGTGTATGCTCTTTCTTAGTCATTTGTGTCGGATTGCAACCACAACCATCATTTTCAATATTTTTAGCTTTTTCACTGTTCAATTAAATAGTCCTCCACTGTACAAAATCATTTTTCAAAACACAGACAATTAATGTATCAAAATATGCATATTATTAAGAAAAAAGCATATGCTTTTAGAAGCGCATGCTGTCATTTTTTTAAATCTATAATCAACATTCTGTCATCATTTTGACATTTTCTCACCCTCTTGTTGTTTCTTTAAGAAAAAGAATTGTTTCTATAAGAAGATATTTTGAGAAATGTCTGTTTTTTGTCCATATGATGGAAGCCAATGGTAAATGTTTGGTTACCAACATTCTTTGGGAAGACATGAGGGTGATGATGTATAATGAGAGAATTATCATTTTGGGGAATTCTCCTTTTAATGTCCTACTTTGATCTGTAAATATATGAAACTCAAATATTCATTGAAATATGTCTCTATATCTGGCTTTTTGTGTTATGCATATAGGGTTCATTTGACGGTCATTTGTTTCATGTTGAATCTGGTTTATAATAATAATAATGGTTTAGTCTCATGCTCAAATGTGAGCATTTACTCATCTCACTTGAACAAAAACAGATTCAGTATTCCTAAAAATGAATAAAAACAGTGAAATGAAAACTCAGAATATTACACAACCTGCAATAATAAAACACGTTAAATAACACAAATGCTTTATGTATTTAATCTCACTTTATTAACCAATGTCTTTGCTGCTGACCTTTGATGATCCAATTTATCCATAATAAGAAGCAAAAATGACTTTTATATAAACATAATATTTGTTTCTTTTTTTTTTATAAAAAACCAAACAAGCAAACCCAGCCCAGGTGAGAAAAGGTAATTAAAAAAATTATGTAACACAATTAGTTACTTTTTTAGTCAGTAACAATATTGTAATGCATTACTTTTAAAAGTAACTTCGCCCAACACTGTGTACTATACAGTCCAATCTTACATTTCTGAGTTTCGACGCAAATGTCTGCTTCAGCCTTCAGGCTTGGGTGTGATTTGCAGCCAAAGTCTCTTTCTTAGACATGTTTAGTATGCAGGGCACATTCTTTGGTGAAAGACATCCCCCTCAAAAGTTAAACAAAAGCCCTATTAAAGCACAAATATTTGAAAATACACGTATAGTCTGTGATGCCACAGACGTAAACGCCTGAGGTAAACAGCAGACAGACTTAGATGGTTTTCCCAGACAGTGTTTACATCAACACCAGCACTGGAAGAAAGTGCTCGATGTCACACTAGAAAATATATCAGCGAACTCAGAGTTAACTCTTCCATGCATTTCAAAACAAAAATAAGAGAAAAGCTGTGTCTATGGTGACATGTTATTTTTGGACATCACACGCGCGAGCTCACTGGAAAAGTGTAAAACTGCTGTCTAGATAGGGCAAGCTCAATACGTTTAGAGACACAACCAAAGTTTAGACTCGGTTCTGGTGATAAGAAACCTCTAATTATCCTGCTCAAGCTCAACATAAAACAGAGTTCGTGAAGTTTTGCAGCCTGCGTAGGAAGTTAAACTACGGTCGTAGCGAACGGGACAAAAAGATTCAACCGTTATATATTCTGTTACATCAGTCACGACTCACGAGTCATGTAATGAACAGCACAGTGCTGAAGCTGTCGTACCTGTCTTCGCCTCGATATTGGCCCGCAGCAAGTCCCCACTGGAGAGATGCTTGAGCCCGAAAGTCTGCGCTATCCGAGCAGAAACGGTCCCCTTCCCGGAGCCCGGGGCCCCCATGATCACCGCGCGGAACACGGTCTGCAGACCCATAATGCAACTATTCGAAGATATGCAATTAAAGAAATATCTCCTATTCACAGCATCTCTCCGACCACTGCAGTCCTATGAAATCAATATGAAAGTGATTCTAGGGATGCGCAGTCCTATAAGCGATCGAAACGACAAATACGCAACTCCGGTTTTATTCCCAGATTAAGCCCGTCCTTTTCTAATGCACGCGCATCTCTCGCGGACGCGCACACATTACAGGAAGTGCTGGCTTTATCTCAAGTGAAGACACTTAGTAGTGCACAGTGCACACTACAACATGATGGATATTGCTACATCTCTTTAAGAGGTTTTCCACCTTTAACGTTCTCGGGGACCCGTACCAGGACGCAAATATTTCAATATGAAAACACTAGATTTTCTGAGTAACACTTTATAACTTTAATTGAACATTAACGGCGCTACATTACACAATGCTTAATACAGTGTCAATATGTAATAGTTAAAATTTAAGCTATCTTGAATATATAACTTTGTGGCCCTTAGGGGTCCATGGACCCCTGGTTGAAAACCCTGAAAGTTTTTAGAAAATAAATATTTTTTTATGTTTTTTTTTTTTCTCCAGAGTTCTTATTACCAGGGTTAGTATTGATAACTCAACCTATTAAAAACCTTTTTATTAATTGATTGAAGAAATTAAAAAGCTGAAATAAAACACAAAAAAACAAAAATGTTGCCTTGGTTGAAGTAGCCTAGGCCTACTGAAATAATGGTTAAAAACAAAAACGGAACTAAAAACTGATATGCAAATAAATTAACCAGCACAGTAATATTTAAATAGAACATAAACTAATAAAAATGACAAAAGCACAACACAATGACTAAATTAAAATCAAATTAAAATGGGAAATATGAACCTAATAAAAACTATATAAATTATACTACAATAACACTGCATATTACAGTGCATGAGAAAATGCTGAGCAATATTTAATGTGTAATTATTTAGTGGAAACTCTTTTTATGGTATTATTACTTTATTGTATTAATTGAAACGTAACCTAACTAACTAACAAACAAACAAACAAACAGCATGCTGCTCAATTATTATGCAATGTGATTATGTAAGATGTTAGTCAGAGTAGGTCTGCTCTGATGGGCTTTGGAGTTGGCAGTGTTTTCTCTGCTTGATTAAATCATCGCCAGAATGCAGTGTGGAGTTTCATCTGAGGGATTTGATTGACATTTTTCATTGGTTTAACCCAATCACAAGAGAGCCCATTTATCCCCAACACTGACTGAATCATCATTTATCAGCTGACAAATGATTGACAGGAGGGCTTCTTTTGGCAAGATAAAGAAGATAAGAATGGAGATTTGTTCTCTCCTAAAGACCTCTAGAACAATAGTTCCTCCAACACAATGAGACAAAGACAGGATTTGGAAATGCTAACGATCACCATAGTGTTAAAGACGGAGGATAGGACAATGATGTGCAGCTTTTGTGTATGAAGTAAATAGATGAAACAAAAAAAATATATGAGGTGACAGTTGTCAGTTGGAATTTAATGATTTTTATGATGTGAAATATAATTTGTATCTTCCCAGTTTGAGATACTGTGGAAGCGGCGCCCCCTTGTGGCTTCAGTAATATGGTCACGGGAGAGATGCAACACTTTCTGCATTTCCTTCAGTTTCTCAGAGACTGTTTGTATTGAAAAGCCAAACATTTTAACGCATTAAACCCACGGCTGTCAGCTACCAACCCACACTGCTCCAACATGTGTACATATGATCATATATGTACAATTTATACTTGAATAGACAAAGGCAAATGTTGCCAATAGGGACGTTTGCAACAGTCCACAGGGGCAAACATGTCATAAACATCATTCTTTAACATCATTTTGCAGTTTCTTTATTTTATTTGTGCACAGAGAGGGTCTTCACTAAGTTAAAAATTACTGTAAAGACAAAGACTAGTAAAAGGAAACAACAAACAAGCAACAGCCTCTTTTCCAATTCCAGTGCCTCTTTCTGTGTGTGAGAACTGCAGTCTTCCGCTTTCTCTTCCCTTTCCAGACTTTTCTTGGTCCTGCTTTTGGTTGAGGTCGTAGGGTCTTGTGGTTGAGCTACGACAGTTAAATCGTAATTTTCCTGTTCGTCAATGAAAAGCTGCTTTGAAACAATCTGTATTGTGTAAAGCGCTATATAAAGGTGACTTGACTCTCATTGATGTAAAGTGCTTGTGTTTGCCTTATTCTCCTGTGGACAGTTTGTGTTTAGATATTCTCCTTCTTCGTGCGTTTGACTTGCACTGACTTGACTTGTTAAAAGTAAGTGTGTGCCACGTCTGTTTATTTTAACGACAGCTTTTTTTCTGCCTTCATTAACCAAACAGTGTATATATTCGAGCTATACAGTAGGCTATTCTTCAAAATGAGGCCAACCTCAAGTGGTTATTTGAGTTTATAAGACTAATGCTGTTTTAACTGAAAGCAACTTGCACTGACAAATCTTAAAATTTGTCAGTGCCATTGTTTTGTCTCAAGATGCACACCAGTAATGTTTTTTTTTCCGAAGAATTACTGACTTTTAAATCTAAAGTTTCAAATCATTGTTTTGATGTGAGCAGATGTTAAATAATATAACATAATATTTTACACTAATATTTTATAATATAGGATGCAAATGTTATCATGCATTATATATTCACAATTTAAAATAAATAACAAAAAAGATATACGTTTTTGTGTGCTTAAATGTATTAGCAAATTCATTTATCACTATACACTGCATCTCCACAGTTTATCCACAAGGTGGCGTCCTCTAATCTAATATAAACTGAGGACTCAACTTGGAAAATATCCACATTATTAGACTATTTACTGTAACCAGTCCAGGATGATCCGTCATAATTCATAAGGCTAATGGTTAACGTAACTCATATTAAGAAGGAGGAACAGAAGGCGGATGTGATATCGTCCCTCATAACAAAGGTGTGTATTTTTATAAGGCTTATGAACATCTGACTTAAAAATACATGATTTAGAATCAACACACTCAGTTAAAACTTACATATCAAGGCCTACCTCAAACGGTTATTTGAACTTAAGAGACTTAAAACGATTCCTGAGCTGACGACCAAATGGTATGGGTTGGGTCTAATATAAAATATCATATTTTACATTCATATTTTATAATATAGGCCTAATATGTAATTTTTCCGAATCTAATTTATAACTTATAGCTACATATAGCTATATAATTTAAAATAATACATATTATGTAGAGAATAATGTATATGTTCCTAGGCTATATCAACATACGCTGCACCTCCACAGTTTATTCACAAGGTAGGCTACCGAACTCTTATCTAATTTGAGCTGAGCACTCAGCTTGGAAAAGATAAGCATTGTTATTTACCGTCATAATTCATATGGCCAATATGGTGAACGTAACTCGACTGAGGAACAGAAGGCGGATGTTCTTCATCCCTCATAAGAGACGTATACGACTAATCACATGATCCACAATCACACTCAGGCTCACCTCAACTGGCTATTTCATTTAGAAGACTTATAACGCTTTAGATTACAGCCCGGAAAGTACTTGGTAATTAAAGCAATTTTACAGCGTAACCTTCGGTAATTATAGTGTACCTATAACGTACTTACAATATAAGTATAAGGGAACAATATTTTAAGTTTGGGGAATAAAGGGGTAACAACCAAGAATTAAAAAAAATATTAATATTGTGAGTATTATAGAACTATGGGGTACTTATTCTACTATTATGATATAACAATCTTACATTTGTGATCAATTAAGCAAGAACATACACTGCGTACCTTTTTGAAATAATGGTGAACCAGTACATAGGCTTTATAAATAGATATAATAGATATGTACCCTGTAATTTTTAAAATGTAATCTTTTTAACAAAAGTGCACTGAAAACGAAAACTATTGCAACTTTTGCTTAAATATTGGGGAAAGATACTCTTGTTTCATGTAGCTTGTTACCCCCTTTTTCTTACAGGGTAAGTGTGACGTTGCGGGCTGTAAATTAAAGTGGTGCTTGTTACCCTCTTGTTCCATGTAGTTACAGGGTAAGTACAATAAAAATACACACAATCTTATATCACTGACTCGAAAACCTTTATTTATTATACAAGCACCACTTACCCTGTAACCACATGAAACAAGATATATTTCCCAGGATTTAAAAAAATTGCAATAGTCTTAGCTTTTCTTGCCTTGAAACATGTTAGCCCAACTTAAACATCTGCACTTTTGCTATCAAAAAAAATAAAATAAAAGTATAAATGCATAGCTATGTACCCTGTCATATTTTAAAAAGCCTGTACAGTATGTATTGCCTTGGTACACAATTATTACAAAAAGGTACACAGTGTATGTTCTCGCTAAATTCCTCCCAAATGTAAGATTGTTGTATCATAATAGTAGAATAAGTACCCCTTAGTTCTATAATACTTACAGTATAAATATTTTTTTAATTCTCCTGGTTGTTACCCCTATATTCCCCAAACTTTACATATTGTTCCCTTATACTTACATGCAAGTACTTTATAGGTACACTATAATTACCGAAAGTTACTCTGTAAATTCCTCTTAATTACACAGTACTTTCCGGGCTGTAATCTAAAGCGTTACCGAAGACTTCAAATAATTCCTGACTTTTAAAAGGTTGCTAAGCAATCTTCTGTTTGGTCATAATTATGTATTTGTAGCCTACTTTTTATTTATTTATTTAGCCTAGTTATTTAGAGATGACATCATCTGAAGACTGAAACCTGGCTGTGATGCGTATGATTGTTTTGCTATTTCACAATTTCCCCTTGACAGTGTTGCTATATCCCGTGCATTGTGTTTTTAACAGTTTGTCAAGCTCTCGTGCCCTGGTAATGATGTCATCACATTCACAACCCTTATCCTTTTACAAGTGTCCATGACAGCATGTTCCACTGACTCAGCCTGATGAAACTAATTCATACTCATTAACTACACCTGATCTTGTAAGAAGGTGAGCAGGAAGAAAGAAAGAATGAAAAGAGGAATGAATGTGGAAGTAGACATGACAATTGAGATTGAAAAATGTTCCTCTGAAGTCGAAGTTCCTCATAGCCTATACTGTTTCACGGAAAATCATTTCTTGTCCTTCTTGTTCTGTTCACATGGAATTCAAAGAGAGACATTCA